CTCGGAGTGTGTTTAAATGTCCTGTTTTGGGTGTTATTTGTGAGTTAAAATACAATGTTCTACCTACTTACGACGATGTTATCAAGTTATATGAATGGACAAGACATCAACGAAAATTGAGGTTAGAAACTGCCAAAGAGCCAGTTTTTGCGGAAATAGCAGATATAGTGACATCCACGATTGAAAATATATGGCAAACTGCATCTATTCCTACAGTAACACGAACAAGAATCATACAAATGTTGAAAGCCTATCATTTAAAATACAAAAATCTACTTAAATCTGTGCAAAGAGTATCTGAAGATAAATTAGAGAGATTTCGGCATAGTGGTAGGTTACTTTTTGATATTTCGGCATGCAAATGCAAAGAATTTATTAAGTGCACCTGCCCAAAGGATAAAAAGGTTCCTAAACAAGAACAAGCCTTCCTAATTGATCAAAGAACCTGTCGACATATGATAATCGGTGGAATCGATCCAATCATCACTAAGAAGTTGCAAAGCACTTTAAAACGGAAACATGAACGAGAGAACCGCCAAAATGTATCTTCGAATACGAGTACATCATCGTTGGCTGTTTTAAATGTTAGTACTTCTTCGGAAACGTCATCAATGTCAGATAGAAGCGAATTCGAAGAAGTTACTCAAAAGAAAAGGAAAAAATCCTCACGCATCGATTTTCCGACGCTCTCGAAGACATGTGACAGGTACGGAGTGTCAGATAGGGCTGCAGCCGCGATTGCATCATCTGTCTTGTTCGACATTGATTCTGATATTGGCGTCATTGACAGGCATAAATTACGTAGACAGAGAACCAAAACAAGAAATAAGTTATTGAATGAGGTGAAAATTTCGGAACTTAATGCTTTATACTTTGACGGGAGGAAAGACAAAACGTTAAAGATCGTTAAAAAGAATGGCAAATGCTACAGGACTTTGACTGTCGAGGAACATATCTCACTAATTCAAGAGCCTGGATCAATTTATCTTGGATACGTGGTGCCTAATGTTGGGACAGCAAAAGGAATAGAAATCTCCATAGCAGAGTTTCTAACACGTGAACAAATACTTCTTCATGAACTTGCAATCGGTTGCGATGGCACAAATGTTAATACTGGAAAGAATGGAGGTATAATAAGACTGTTCGAGAGAAAACTACAAAAACCACTCCAGTGGATAGTGTGTTTGCTGCACATGAATGAACTGCCTTTGAGACACTTGTTTCTTCATCTTGATGGGTGTACTTCGGGACCTAAGTCTTTCTCTGGACCTTTAGGAAAAGCACTAGAGACCTGTGAACAACTACCTATTAGAAAATTTCAACCTATTGAAGGAGAAATGCTTCCAGAAATGGCCAAAGATTTGAGTACAGATCAACAGTACTTACATAATATTGTCACAGCGGTTCTTACAGGTATTTTTCCAGAGGATCTGTCAAATAAATCTCCCGGCAAACTTTCACATGCCCGTTGGCTCACACGTGCCAATAGAATATTGCGTTTGTATGTAGCAACCGAAACACCATCAGAGAAACTGCTAACTCTGGCAAAATTTGTTGTTAAAGTTTACGCACCATCTTGGTTCCTTATTAAAAACAAACCCTTCTGCAAGGATGGAACGCGACATCTTTTCTTTATAATTTCTGCCTCCAGATACCTGTCAGAAGATCTTAAAAAGATAATCGATCCTGTCATTCAACGGAATAGCTACTTTGCACATCCGGAGAACACGCTTCTTGCAATGTTAACTGATGCCAAGAAACATATTCGAGAACTGGCAGCCAGGCGTGTATTGAAAGCACGTAGCACGCAGCAAACATCAACAATTAGATTATTTGAGTTGCCTTGCATTAATTTTAATGCTTCTACATACGTTGATTTAATAAATTGGCAGGAAAAAATAACGGAACCCCCTATTTTAAAAATCTTTTCTGACCAAGAAATTTGGCGCGTCGTCGAAACTGGGGATGAGAATCAATTGACCTTTTTGAAGCTTCCGTGTCACACACAAGCTGTAGAACGAGCTGTAAAAGTGACGACAGAGGCAGCCACGTCCCAATGTACGGAAAAGGCACGATTGGGTGCAATAAAAGCCAAACTGAAATCTCGGAATATAATGCCTAAATTTGAGACAAAAAGAAATTTTAAAGGAAAGTAATATATAAATATGTATATATTTTCTTACTATTGTTCTTAAAATGTTACCGTATTTTTAATTGTAGTTCTTCAATAAATATCTTAGATTAATTTTGCAAGTGATTTATCACCCATATATCATTAAACTAAGCTCAATAGTTGGTAAAATGTGTACTAATATTTTTTAGTTAAAATTTAGATTTTGTGGGGTCAGTGCGGAGGCAGAAGATGTTGGAAAAATTAATTGAGAAATTACATATATTTTTACTACAATATACTGCACCAATTGCTCCCTATTACAATTCAATATTTGGAAAAAAAAATTAATCCATACATAAACGCTCCACCCTAATGGATATTCTAAGAAAGGAGCAAAAAATTGTCTGTGACGCTACCCAATAGGGAGTCGAATTTTCTCATGGCGACAAAACATGTGAGGATATCCGCCAATCAGATTTGTTCAGGCGGTGTCCAATATACCTTTCGGGTGGTTGTTGCCAGCTCAACCGATGTCGATAAGATCTTTGGAAAAACGTTTACTTATAATACGATTCAGTAGTAAAAAATAGTTATTAAATACAAATAGAGCTAATAACCCATTAAAATACTCAGTATTTTGAATTATTATTTTTTGGAATTGTGAAAAATCGATTTTCAAATCATTGAAATTACTTCATTATTTCTTTTTTGTAGTTAAATTTGGCAATATCGAATATTTTCGGTCGCATTCCTTTCGCTGTTGCAGATCCGTTTGCCAAACTATAGTCTTAGTATTATATGAATAATTGTCTAACCCTTGGAAGAATGCAGGAAGAATCAGGTATTCACTTTCCTGGCTGCATATAAGAAATACTGATGATCGTTATGTATGATAATACACTTAATATATTGAACTTGAGGAGTCTACGTCAAAGGCGTATTTACAATAATAATTTATTGTTTGTGTTGATGGCCAGATGCTGTATCCTGAGTTCCTTAACAAATTCTGATTCAATGTTCCACCACTTAATTTGAGAGTGAACTGGTTATTTACGTTGTTATCTCCTCATAACACGAATTATGCTATGCACTCGCCTGTTAAGAGTACACTGAATCTTATAAATTCTAAGGACATTGAAATAATGGGCACTTCTTTGCCTAGATTTAAAAGCATTATTAGAGAATTAGCTTGATATTTTATATGTTGTGAGCTAAAATTATACTTATTTGCGTTTGTTATTGGATAGGGATTATTATATTTAAATTTTATAGGTTGACATTTTTTTGTAATGGGGTTGATAAGAAAATAAAAGACATACTACAAAAATAGGCACCTGCTACAATTACATATACCCACACAATAAAAAAGTGCTGTGTGCTGTGCTTGGGGTCCCAGGTACTTTTTCACGCTGAATAGTAATCAGAAGTCAAAACTGAGGGTGGACAAATAAGAAAGTAATTCAAGCATTACAATCGCATATTTCGGCGTATTTGGAGGATGTGCATCTCTTCAGACCTCTACCAATACTTTTAATTCTTATGTATTAATTACTTTAATACATTTCGGTCTTCCTCCAATTTTGAATACAGATTCGGTTTTAGAGGAAAATAATACATGGTAAAATATAGTGACACACCATAATTTGTTTTGTCGACCTGTGGATAGTTTTACTACATTTTCTCCAGGATTTGTCTACCGAACCGCAATTTTGACTTCAGATCCATACTCAGGGTAAAAAACACATGGAAAAACTTAGTCCACCATCTTTTCATTTTTGTGGGCCTGTGTTATCATCATATTTCAAATTTGGTCCATCCTCCTTGTGGATACATCAACACAGTTCCAGTTTTTATTAATTTTCTTGGAAGTAAGAATTTCCAAAATTTTCCAGTTTTACTTTGATCCCGGAATTGAAGAGCACTTTCAGCTGCCCTAAAGTTGCCTGACTATCTACTAATTTCTTGAATGTGACCATCACCCATGTAGTACAGACGGACGCCGAGACTTTATGTACCTACATAGAAGTTTCAAAAATCCTATTTCCAAGTTTGTACACTCTACCACCCATTCTGGTATAGCTTCAAGTACAATTTTGAGCTTCCAGAATCCCACACTAGCGTATTCTCTCACATACCTCATTAATAACTGTTTAAAATATGACATAACAAGACATACATTACACGCCTATCAATTTACTTTCCGGTTTCGCAAAAATTTTGAAGTGGTGATTTACGAACGTATACTGAATCACTTCACTGAACGTAATCTTATATCTGAAACACAACACGATTTTATAAAGCGTAAATCAACAACAATTCATCAATTTAACTGCTAATCTATAAAAGTCTTGAAAATGGAGATACACCTTTTGGTTTGTTTTTGGACCTTTCAAAAGCATATGATTGTGTGGACCATAGGATACTGTTAACCAAGCTATACGATGGAGACCTTAGCTGCAGACAGTGCGAGTGCGAGGCGCCGGATCAGCTCATCGGGAAACCAAAGCTAGAACCGAGGGAGTCTAGAACAGTATCAGCAGGGAAACTGTACCAACTGGTACAGAACGCTGGACTGCTGGATGGGGTACTGTAAATTCGAGGAGCAAGGCACAATAAGCCCTAGACGCTGCAGTGCTATAGGGGACTTTGGTCGGACTGCTCCCGCAAAAGAAAAAAAGCTGGAAGCCTTCTAAAGTACGTCTCTCACAACGCAAGCAAAGTACTGTGATAACCAAAAATGGTAATACAGCTAAATCAAATGAGATTCATACATCAGTGGGCATCCCTCAGTATAGTATCATTGGGCCCCCCTTATTTATAGTTTTTGTAATCGACATGTCATTAGATCTTGATTATTCCACTGCAGCATTAATATCTTAAAATTCAGATGATACTGGTAACTGTACAAAACGCTGAAGAGAAAAGCTTCGTTTTTTACGATGAGGTTTCGGAATTCTTGACCAGGAGCAAATTAGTTTTAAATGCAGAAAAAACACATAACATGATTTTTAAGCCGTATCATGGAAATTGTATTCTAAACTAACTAAAATAGCTTTGACGGAAAAAATACATCTTGAATTGCAGTTTGATACCAAATTTCTTGGAGTACACATAGATGAAGCCCTCAAATGGGCAGAACATATATAAAAAATAAGTTAAGCAGTTAAGCATTCTGCAGGTTTTAAGTAACTATCATTATTTTGATACCGTAAACCGGGGTAACTTTGGTAAGGTTTTTCAAGTTTTTCTTTAATTAAACATGATCTTGCAAAAATAACTGGGCTTTGACTACTGAAGGGCAATGTACCAACACTCCCAAGTATACAATAGCACAAAAACATAATTAATTTATTTTGTACGTTAACATATTTGGCCTTAAATGTGTTCCAATGTTACCCCCCATTTGGGGTAACTTTGGTACATTGGCTTTTTGTATGAATATTTCAACGTCATTGGCCTGTGTCCTAAAGATAGACATTGCTGAACCAAAGAAAAATGAAATGGCAAGCAAAAAACATATTTTTGCTATTTTTTATTTATAGTAGGGGGCAAAAGAACAGGATTAAAGTCTCTCAAGGAGCTTTTGTTGCTAGATAAGTACATAAAAAGAAGTTTAAATATTTCAGATCATTACAAGTTAAATAAATAATAAATATCATCAGTTTGGTATTTTTAAATACACAAAAACAATGAAAATTAAAAAGATATAGTGCCTTAAATAAGGCCTAAATCTAAAATCAAACAAACATATTTTCCTTAAGCAAAATCTTTCAATTCTGGAACATCGAAAACCTGTCGATGTCCACGACGTTCAGGTGTTTTTATAGCCATTATTATTTCTTGGTTGCTATAAAATATTACGTCTTTGTGATTTGGCCATTTCCATTGCTTTCCATAAGGTCATAACATTGACTATCGCTCCAAGTTGTTTAAAAGCTTTCGTGATTTGTCCAGCGTTTGTAATATTTTTGATTGTAAATAACCAAAACGTAATTTCCAACTTTTCTTGAAACCACGGAAAATGCCATTTTTTTGACTCGGCACTGACTTCATCATCTGACAGTTCAGAATTGTAAGGGCTATCGTCTGTTTCTGCAAATTTAATACTCTGAATGCTTCTATCTGAGCTCTCTGAATCATTTTTTGTTCTTTTAGATTTCTGGCTTCTTATTTCCAATACAGGTAAGCTGTTGTCAGAATCTGAACCTCTAGAAGGTTCTTGTATGCTCCTCATGTTCTGGATTCCAGACGTGGAGGGCTGCGGCGAATTGTTGGGAGGCTCGGTGGAGGAGGCATTCTGTACATCAGCAACCGTTATCCCTTTACCAGAAGGCACTTGGAGTTTCTTTCTTCTACGAATACGGGGTGCTGTGGTTTCGTGACGTATTTGAGCAAGATGTTCCAAAAAGCTATAGCCAACAACTTTTTTTATTGCAGAGTCGTCAGACACCACATTTGCGTGCAATCTACTCAAAACGACTTCCTTTTTAAAAGGGAAAACTCTGCATTTTCTGAATCCAGATTAAAGATTCTCAGCACTGCGCTCTTCCAATCTTGTCAACAGAGTTTTTGAAAGCCTAGGAAAGGTATCCTTTGGTATTCCGCTAACACGACATCCTTCAGCCGTGTTCTTCCAATCATTTAGAATTATTTGTCTCCAGTTTCTCTTCATAGGACGGAAGTATGCTACATCCAGCGGCTGCAGGAGATGCGTACTATTTGGAGGCAGTGCAATAAATCTCATATTATTCGATTCGCACTGTCTGATCACCTCCACATTGAGGTGGGAACTAAGGTTGTTCCCAATTAAAATTTTACGACCCTCTTTTCGTTTTAGAATAGGGAGAATTAAATTAATAAACCAATCCTCAAATATGTACTTGGAAGTCGAACCATCCAGTACTCGTAGGGTTATAACGGGCATTTAATGGACCATCTTCCGTCCAGGTTGACCATAGCTTTTGAGCTTTATAATTAATATAAACCGGAGCAAGCTGTACATGCTTTCGAAGAATTGCGAATCTTCTCAGGGTACTTGGTCCCCCTCCTTGTAATAGCTTTGGATCGGCCCGGGTCATCGACGAGATTTGTTTCGTCGTAATTATAGATGTTTGCTGGAGGGACTCGTTCCAGCTCAATTTGGAGATTATCAAAGTACTCGTTAATCACAGACTCGTGTATACCTGCTCGTGCGTGCAAAATATTTTGGGAGAACCTTTGACTAAGTTCTGATCTGCGCTTTAAAAATGAAGCTGCCCAATCAGGTCCTGAATAGTTGTTGTTAAAACATGAAACTTTTCTTCCCTGCCTATCCAAGTAAGCCTTAACACAAACTTTTAAGTCTTCAGCTGTTATTGGAAAACTAAATGCAGATAAAGCAATTAAATGTCAAACGCATGATTCTTCTTCATCTTCCGAGAAGACCCTCGGCTTACCATGTCTACGAGTATGCTTTCCATGGATTTTGTTCCATAAAGTGCTTTTCGCTACCTATCTGATACTTTTTTGATGCACTACGGAGAGAATTCGATTTACTTTTAATTTCATCGACAGCCTGTTGAAGTTTTTCTTCTGAATAATTTTTATAATTTCGCGCACCAAGTAGATGCTGTGGCTTACGAGGCATTATTAGTTCTCAAAGAGATAAACAAAAGCTATACAAAATTAGAGTCAGTGTAACTTTAGTACACTATGTTTTTTAAACTAGATTCCACAGCAAACGTCTGCAGTCTAACTTTGGGACATGTACCTCCACATGTTACCATTTTTTATGTAAACATAATATTTTTTGGTGTCGATTATTTGTTTCGCTATATTATCAAAACATATCCCAAATATATCTACATAAGATGTACTTTCCAAAAATAAAGTGGCTTTAATCGTTTTGGCTGCCCAATGGAAAGTTTTCAGAGAACTGAAAAATGCGTGTAACGACTTGTTGCAGCTAAAAATTCACTGCTGTTGCCGGAACAAATCTACTGTTGCCAAACTCACTATTTTTTTCCTATTATTATCTTATAAACAAGATTGAATACCAAGAGTTGTTATATTTGCGGCTTAAATATTTTTGTAAGGTAAAGTGTGGAAAAATAGCAAGTAATGCCCAAGTCACAAAGTTACCCCGGTTTACGGTACTCTAAAAATTATCTACCATGCTAATTTTGAATCTATCCTAAGATATGGAATAACTTTTTATGGACAAGGCAATTAAAAAATCCACTTTTTATAGCCCAAAAAAGAGCACTGAGATGTATGCTTAAAATGTTACAAAGCGAATCATGCCATGGAAAAATTAGTTCTAATAATATTTCAACCATAGCTGATATTAATTTACAAGAAGTATCACTGTTTGTCTTCAAAAATCAACCTTTGTTGGAAAAGTATCTACCAGGGGGAGGGGGAACTATATGAAGAATATAGTTGTCTGAAAATTTTCAATTACCTTCCTACAGACAAAAAAATAATTTGAGTTACTTTAAGAGAAAAGTACAACACATTTTTGATACATCTAGAACCTCGTTGCCTCGATGACTATTTAGCACGATTCTAGCCTTTTCTCTATATTGTTTTTTTTTTGTGATGACATTGTGTGTACATAAATTTATTTTTCCATTGTTACTTGGGAATAAAATTTTGTTGTTGTTGTTAAAAACTGAATCCACCGTCAAGCCCATCTCCAGAACTTTTTTCTAGATACGCCACTGGAGTCGCACGTGTGCATACTCTAAAAATAGATTTTTTGTAAATGCGTGAATTTAACGAATCAATCTCCTTTGCTAAGTTTATTTCCTTTTTTCAGTTGGACGGTGGCGGCTACCCAACCAATTTCACGTACACCCCAGGCGGCGTAGCAAGAAACATCTGCGAAGCACTCACGCGTCTAGGCGTGACACCCGCCTACTTTATGACAGTTGTAGGAGACGACGATCAAGGTCGACTGCTATTGGCCAAAGGAAGCGGAACTGACGGTTTCAACGCGAGACTGGGCGGAGCTAGCAACATCACTCCCGCAATCAGCGACAGTGGTGCAGATGGTGATAACGCGGCATCCTGGTCGAAGGTGAAAGGCATAAAGAAGCTGCAAGAGATGCAAACAGCCTCGTGCGTCATCGTATTCGATGAAGACAAGGAATCCAGACTTATCATGACGGATTTTGATATACACAGCCAGATTTCACCGACCATGGTTTGTAACAAGAAAAATCAATAAGAGTATGCTCTTTCATTGGTGAATCATGTGAAAAGTCGTTCCATTAGTCCGATTGGAACAGTAAATGGATGTAGAGGCTACTGTTATTAGGCAGTTACAAAAATGATCACAGGCTGACCAAAAAACTGAATCGAAATAGAGTGACACATCAATTACATCACGAATTCAAGCACTCATTAAATGCATTAACCGCACATTCATACTTGAGTGTTTTTCAAAAAGGTCCCCCTACACTCTAATCTATGAACGGGTCAAGCACTCATGTTAGCATACTGTAGGTAATTTGGGGCAATGAATGGATGCATATACACTATTTTGGCGTCGCTTGAAAATGTCGCCGTGGCAGCTGGACGCCATCTTGAACCTTTTTGGTTTAAATGAAGTAGGAGATCACAAAGTATCTCATTTTGGAGCTGTTCATGAGTACTTTAATAAAATATGAAATCGCTATCGTTATTAAACTTTGTTTTGCAATCATTCATCAAAACGCTATGCAGATATGTAATAGGTAGGGGAATAACCTTTTTGAAAAATACTTTATAAATATATCCGAAATCTGTATGGTCGAAAATGATGAGAACGGTAGACGCTATATCCAAAAAATAATCGATTTATGTTGCTATTGCGCCAGTGAAATGCTGCTTATGAGCCTAAAATGGCAGCCGAAGGCTCAAAACGTAGATCTAGCAGCGCTGCTCCAATTAGATTTAAGCATTAATTAAGGTTTATATGAAAGTTATGAAAGATATCTAAGTTCATAAGCGAGTTAAATTAGAACATTACTTTTTTCTACATACTGGGTGTTTCAAATTTGATCCTCACCATTGATGGGATCTCGGAAACAGTGAGAAATATAGATACGAAGTCGTTTAAATGGGGACAAAGTTGAGTATTTAGACAACTAGCAAAGTGTCGCTTAGAAAGTTTCATGATTCAAAGTACTTCCAGAGAGAGACATAATACATATCGACATCATATACCAGAACAGACCCCAAATTGAACATAGTAGCAAAGTTTTTGCAACTGCGAAGTAGAGAAATAAATCGACCCGAGAGCAATGTACAGAGAAGAGTCATGCTTTGCCTGCAAAATAACAGACCACATTTTAAACAGCTGCTATGATTTACCTCTGCTTATTTATTATTATTGCTATTGTTATAATCATCAATAAAATTTTCAATTTGTGTTCAGGTTTTGCCATACCTTTTTATTTCCTTATAATTTTCATCCAACAACAAATTCATGGCCAACTAAGGAAATACATGAATTTAGGGCTTAAAAATCCAGTTAAATGTATTACATTCTAATATAACGTCCATATGAAAAAACAAAGTTGGTGATGGAAGTCGAAAGAAGAAACCCCAAATTGAAAATTTCACTACCCCATCTTGTATAAGTAATAATAACATGCAATTTATTTTGAAATTCCTTCTAAAATAAAGTTAGGAAAAAATTATTTTGGAATAAATCTGGTATGCAAGACAAATGACTATTTAATAATTTTAAGGCCTACCTAGTAAATTATGCATTTTTTGGAATAACTCAGGTTGGCAATGCCAATGTATGTCATATACTTTTCTAAAATCAGAATTATTAAAAGCTCTATCCTAATTACGCCATCTTGTAGAGGAGAAAAAGTGGTGATGTTAATGTGGAATTTGCTTTAAAATCCCACTACAAATAAAGTCAAGAAAACATTCAAACGATTATGGGAAAATTCTGTTTTTTTTGCCTCTCTCGGGAAGTACTTTAAATCTGAAAACTTTCTAATCGACATTTTTTTAGTTACCTAAATACCCAACCTTGTCCCCATTTAAGAGACTTCGTATCTCTTAACGTTCCTGAAATCCCAATGGTGAGGGTCGAATTTGAAACATTTGATATATTTAAATAACGCCTTTGAATGTATCACATTTGCATTCATTTTTAATATTCCAGGTGAGGGAAATGGAAGAGGAAATTAAAAACTGCCCCTTGGTAATTATGGATGGAAATATCGAAAAGGCGACTATAGAAGAAACCATGAGAATATGCCTGATACACGACGTACCAAGTAAGTGAAAATTTGGTTTTTAACCTGTACCACATTTAGCAAAATATATATTTGTGCACCAAGAGCGCAAAGCACTACTTTGCTGCGCCACAAACCTCTTTAAGGCACGACGCGGAATGGCGTGTCAATATTTTTAAACTAGCAATTTGTCTTTTCGTATATTATAGTCAGAGACCAGTAAAATATAAATGATAAACACTATGACTTTAAGCACATATATTAAAAAATTGTATTAGTGCGAAAAACAGTCAAATATATGTGGACGGACTTAGCGCTCTAGTTACACTAGAAATGTATAAAAATACCTTCAGCATGCAATAACGGGGTTTTCCACCAAAATATAACATAAGTATAAACAAATTAATACTAATATTATAACAGAGGCACAATGCTTGTAACAATACAAATCAACCATACAAAAATTTGCTAATAATACTAAATTGCAGATCTCCGAAAATAATCCAATTTTCGTTTAAAATTAATTACCATAGGCACAATGCAAAATCTATAACTATAAAAATACAATAATTATAAGGCCATCATATATAATGCTTCATGAAAGTACATAATGATTATGTCAAATGTTCACATTTTTACGAAAAGAAATAATCTGTAATAACAGTATAGAAACTTTAAAATGGATAATTGAAGATTAAATGACACTACAAAAATATAACTTGCTCCCACAGTATTATGACATCACATTTCCAAATCAAACACCCATAGAAAAATAAATGGACTCTTAAAATGCGGTACGCGATAGTGATATGTATCAAGTATCAGATTTATTGTTGACATAGAGTAAAAGCGGACGTTATTTTGAGGCTAACTCAAAATTTTTTTGGCTAACTTTTTCTAGCTATTTGGTAGTCATTTCAAAATAAGCCCGCATTTAATATCTACAAATTGTAATTAAAAGCAATTTGAAGTTACTACTATTAAATTATGATTCACACTATCAAAAATTAATTGATGCTCTAGTAGATCATTCTTTGTCAAAGTGGGCAGAGCCCCTTGTGGGCTGCCCCCTCCTCTGCTTTGCAATTGACAGCCATCTTCCTCAACAATTCCAGAGAATGCTGGAAAACGATTGCTTCTCAAACAGAGCAGTAGACGAAATATGCTCTAGATTGTCAATATAACAATCAGTAGTTCTCGTGTGTGAAACAAGGTTTACAAAAGCCACAGAACAATTTGTGAAATAATAAACAGTCATCATGACAGATACCTAATTTGAGAAAGTGCCAGCATATCCAATTTGCAACAATACCTAAAGCAAGATATGTGGCGGATGAGAACACATACTTCCCTCTATAGTGACATAATATGTTTTACTGGACAAATATTTGATAACAAGTTGTTTACCTAAAACTATCATGATCGTTCAACTTTCAATTGGATGGATGTGGGCTGTTTGCTATAAAATTATATGGTTCAGGTCAGATCTATTTCCAAGAATCAGGGAATCATTTCGGCTCCTTTAAGCCTATTCTCGTCTATCTACCATCCCAAGCGATGCTGAGGATTGGGGTGCATCTGCATGACCAGATTTTTGGACTCCTTCCTGCGCTCATAACTCAAACGAGCTTCCTTGTAAAGGAAGACTGATGCAAAACCATGGAAAAAGAAAGAAATACAGGCCAAACCATATGACCAACACAGATAATTGAAGTTAGGGTACATCAACCAATCACGGCGGGTGTGGGAACCACCGAATATCGCCACTGCCAGGAACATGAAGACAGCTGTAAATGAAAAAATATGTAAATAAAATGAAAATATAATGGTATTAAACAAAATTTTGCGAAATATGAATTTTGCAGAAAAAATTCTATATGTCGCATGTAGTTACCAGATGGTGATGTGTGTATTGCAAAAACACCAGCGAAGTATTACTTGGCCAAATTACATTTAAAAACACCTGCAAGCACAGGAATTAACAATTCTACAATATTTAAATTGTTAAACATACCAAAATATCAACTAATAGGAAATTAGTGTATTTTTTATGAGTGAAATTGCATTGTCATCGAGAATATTTGTTGTAAAAATAAGGAATAACAGACTTACTTGTAGTAGTAACACATATAAAGTTAATAGCAGACAAAATCCATTCATACTGCAAGACAAAATCCAAAGGCCACCTGCATAGCTGAAGTGCCATAACTACTTGGGATCCAAAGCTCAGTAGAAAGGACATTGTTACAAAAGCCTGGACTGTCATCAACCAAGCTGGTAACAACCTACAACGATAAAAAAAAGTATTGTAATAATTGAGTAAGCTGAGATAGATCATCTGGAGCACATTAAAGGTGCAAATGTTCAATTCTTAATGGAGACAGCAATAGGAATCCTTGGTCAGCAACCAAGTTATAAGACCAGTAACACACAAAAAAAATTGGCGGCTGTTAGACAACTGTCATATGATCAATATTTACTGTGGTCTGTATCTACTCCATCAATACTTAATAGTAATTCTCTCAGTGGATGCCCAGGAAATATCATTCCATGATCAATACTAATGGATCACAAGTTCAAAAAGGATATGAGATAGTATTAAGATAGTCTATGTACAGATCTGTTGTTGCTTATTTAATATCTTCAACTTTGAAAATCAATATTTCACAGGGAAGATGTGATAGTGACAGATTTTCTGCATGAGTGCTATGCCACAAGTTTTGTACTCCAGAGTCCAGTTGCAGTCTCCTACTGACCCAATGGGACCTTGAGGCTCTTCTATTAGGATAGAAACATAAAATTAAACTTCTGCAATCAGATGTACCCTATTTCACGAGTATCCATCAGGGTAAAATGACAGCTGATTATCTAGTAATATTTCAAAATTCTCCATATCTGCAAACGACACATAATTCTGACAGATCCATCAATGCCAGGTAGACAGAGCTACATTGTTTTGGTTTTTTGTACTATACAGTTTCATGTTGTCCTTCCATACAAAAAAACAAACCAATTTTACTAGATTTTCACCCAATTCATTATTACCAACATCACAGACTAACACAAAAATGTCACTTTATGATCAGCTGATCACCTCAGTAGACGTCAAAGTGGGATAGATACTCGTGAAATAGGGTATAACATTTTCTTAGATTGTGACTGAACATTCAACTATGACAAACATCTAGACTATTCTCTCAAAGTTGTTTCAGTCTCAAATGTTTTCACACCATATTTCTTCAAGTTTGTAAGTATGTGTGAGTCTGTGTATGTGAATATAGATACAAGTGTTCTTTACCATAAAAGCTGCATGGTACTTTACATAAACTGCATCTACATACCATTCCCTGATGACATAATATTCCTGGCTGAAAACGTGGTGACAACCATCAAAGGGGTGGTCAAACTGATAATACGGATATCGGAATTGCTCAAAACAGTACTCCCACAGGCCCATGTTTTTGAACTGCGAGAAGGTTTCATCGAAAGACTTGACCCAATAAGGGCTGAAAATGCACATATTAGGAACATCTGAGATTTATCTGAATATGTTTCTTACCTGCAGAAGGCAATAATTAGAAACATCCCTGCAATGTAGGTCAAGAGCGCCCCATTTACCAAATAATCTAAAAATAATGCATTCACAGCAGAATTTCGAAAACAACCTCAAATCATACTTACTTGATGCTTTTGGATAGTTGTTTTTCTCTTCGTCCCTCATTTTTGGGGTTAATAGACGTAAAAATTGGCAGAGAAGTGCGTAAACTGCTGAACAACGGTTTTATTTATTTATGTGAAAATTGTAAATACAAAATTGCAAACAACGCCCTGTGAATCAGTTGGCGAGTGACAGCTCAATCTGACAGTTGTTGGTTCCGTTTAAAAGGTTGCACAGGCTTTTCCATGTACCTGCTAATTCAGCACTTCATTAGGTAAATACTCAACAGAAAAATTCGGTCATAAATAACGTTTTGAGCACAGTTTGTAATTTCCGATTCAATCTAGGCCTGTATTATAAATTCAATAATTATTCCTTGAACTCTTTTTGTACCTCAATGTCCATGGAACACAGTTTTAAAGTTTTCAGGCAACCAGCTATTCACCGGTGTTATAATCTGTGGTGTCATGAACCTGTGGCGTCCAGAGACGCATTTGAGAAGGGAATCTCATTTCGTGGCAATCTGTTTGGGGCTCAATTCTTGAACTGAGTGAAAATGGGCGTGGTTCACTTATCTATCGAGGAATTGTATTCCTCATTTCTGAGAGCGGCACGGGTACTACGTATCTTGAAAAGTAACATTTTGTCGTTTTTTTTACATTTCGTAGGTTTTTCTATAAGATGTTCACTTAGCACAAGATGTTGCACACTCCTTGTGAACTCGTTTTGTGCTGTACGTGTTGCTTAAACGTCAACTAACAGCGGTCATAGCGAGCGTGGGATGAACACACTAAAAACTACCTAGGCTGGTCGTTTTTTTATGTTGTTAACATACCCCCGCCGAGGTGCCGCCGTTGTTTATCACCATATTTCTATGCAGGGTGTTTCAGAACTATGGGATCAAACTTGTAGAGGTTATTCAGTATAACAGTAGAAAACATTTGAGTATAGGGACCCATATCCGGCGCTTGGGTGTTATCTTTAAAAACTATAACAGAGATTGTTTTTGTAGCTGCATTCCATATCGCTTAGTCGTGCAATCGTACCGACGTAATATATATATCTTCGGTGATTGAGATATGCTCATGAAACGGTGGGGCAAGACATCGTGGTGGCCAATAAATGTCGCCTCCCCTCGACATCACTTTTCCAGGGAACATTGCCGGTACGAAGCCAATGCTCACGTTGGACGTGTGACAGGTGGCGCCGTCCTCGTCTTGAAGTTGTACCCATCAAAATCTTGGAGCTTTAGTGCCAAAAACTCTCAGCATTCGAACATAAGGTTCTGAATTAACAGTTACAGATTGCCCGCGATCGTTCTTGAAAAAGTAGGGTCCAATCAAACCGCTAGCTGATAATGCTGCTCAAACTGTGACTTTTTGGCAATGAAGTGATTTTTGATACTTCAGCGACGGCTGCACCGCACTATAGTATCGACGGTTTTGCTTGTTCACAAAACCTGTAAAGAGTATGTTTCCCAAATCACTAAATTCTGATCTCTTTGTAAGGTCAGTATCATTTAATTCTTGGACGATTTGAATCTTATATGGATGACGTTTCAAGACACGCTTCAACATTCGTCTCAAACTCGTACTAGCAATACTCATAGTCGCTGAGCGTCGAGGTGAGCGCACTGGATCGACTCAAACAGATCCACTCACTTCCCCTATTCTTTGATCTGCACGAGTATTACGTATCTTGAAAACAGACATTATGTCGATTTTTTTGGACGTCATATTGGTTTTTTGTGACATTATGTAGATTTTTCTACAAGATGTTAACTTGGCACTAGCTGATGATAACCACGTGAACCGGTTTTGTAGTTGTACGTGTTGCCTAAACGTCATGAGGCTTCAGTTATCAATGTTTGGCTCCGATGTGATGTAAAATCTGCTTCAGAGATGGCATTACTGAACATAACGGCAATTCGTAGGTGCATATATAGTGAGGATCTATATGCTAATAATGTGTGTTGATGATAATTGCATTGGATTCTTGTCTCAAATACACTTACTTGAGATTCAAAGCTAGGAATTAGTTGCGCATCCTATTTTTCTGGAAACTACATATGCAAATTTGCTGAATTTAAAAAATGAGACAGATAAGAAATAATAATATTCACTGTAGACTGTCGAATTACAAGTCATATACATGCTACCAGTAAAAAATCGTAATTGATAACTTTGAACACAACCTGTCTTCCGACAGGACAACATATAAATAACCCGCCGGGCACAGCTAATAGATATACTTCGTTAGCAGCATATTCAGTAATGATTTTCTCACACAGCAAATATCACTGATTTTATACACATGCAGACCATTACACACAATCATGCAGATGTAATTTTGCTATTCAACCAAATAAACAACTTTCTTCTCAGAGATGAAAACTATAGATCACTCGGCTTCACAAAACATATGCAACCAGCAATGCGTGTATATGTGTAGTTGAGCCATTCCTCCATAGATGGATGCTCACAACGTTCCTAGTGAGCAAACGTGGAATGACTGTTTGTACCGTAAAAACTTCCTCGTCTGCAAGATGACATTGGTTTTTTTGACGTTTTATAGGTTTTTTACATAATACCCGCTGTAATACCCGAGCCGTTCCTACAGCCGGCACTAGACCTTGACATCTATTTGGTAATGTCGAACCGGTTTCTTGAAACCTCAACCATTGCTTCGTTAAATTAATGCTAGAGCACTGATGAATACTCCGCAATCCATATTTAACTCGGAATAAACGTCACACAGTGACATAAGAATGATTATTCCAAAGAGCCTTGCATCATGAAAGCGCGCTGTTGCACCGTGAATTGACTTACGGCTACTGAAAATGCATGAATCATGCAATCAAAAAAACAAAAATGATTTTATTCTGGCCCACCCTGTATAAAGATCACTTGTAAAGCGGCATTTACATTTACGAGTACTCGGATCCGAGTTTCGCTTCTTAGACTAAATTTCGGAAATGTAAACGGTTACTCGGAGCTCGTAGCGACTTCGATCCGAGATCCGAGCCCGGATCGAAGTAGAATACAAAATTACAATCCGACTTGTACGAGAGCACCTGTTTCTCGATAATATAAAATGGCGGAACTAAAGTTTTCCAGCGAGCAAATGGAACAATTTATTGATCTTTATAGATCATTTGAGTGTTTATGGAACATTAAATGTACAGACTATAGAGACATCAACAAAAGGAACAACGCGTATGAAGCTATTGCCGATATTATGAATATTTCAATAGAAAACGTGAAGAAGAAAATAAACAACATTCGATCGACGTATTTGCAGGAAAAGAAAAAAGTTGAGTTACAAAAAGTACAGGTATGTAAAAATAATATTGTAGTTCAGTACTATTATACAGTTTTCGTGATTTTAATTAATTTAAAGGTTTTAAACATAGGCTATGTTTATATCATTATATATATATATACAGGGTTATCCAAATTAAGTGTCCACCATTAGTAACTTTGTTATTAGTGAAAATACAAAGTTGTTTGAATTAGCAAACTAGTAGCATTTTTAACGCTGGTAAAAATGAGAAATAAAAAAAAAACAATTGAGAGTCGTTATTTTGATTTTTTCAGTAAAATAACATTTTTTTAAATGGAAACCTCTGTATATTATATTTTTTTCTGTTAAAGCATCAAATTTTAAACAAAAAAGTTCATAATGACTTTTCCGCTAAAGTCAAAATAACGATAAATATTTTTAATTATTTGCAGTATTATAATATTAAGACGGCTATGAAAACAACATGACGTTCGCGATTTGACAGCATTAAGATAAGCGACAAATTGTTAAACTGGACATACTCGCAACTAGAAGGCTTTGGAAAACAATGATAAAATCAAATAATGTCAAACATTAGTGTAAATACTTGTTTATAAGCTTTATTGTGTCATTAATTTAAAGAAAAATGTTCTCCCATGAAGAAAAGTGTGATATGTTAGAATGCTATTTAGTGTGCAGAAAATCCTCCTTGAGAGGTGAATTATATCCCGCTCGCATTCAACCGTATGAACGATATTTTCTGAGACTTTATCGAAAATTTAGGGGCAACGAAAATGTTTTTGCTAAAACAAGGGCAAAAAAATAATTCATAATAAGCGAGGCCACGGAAATTGCAGTTATTGGATATTTTGAAGCTTATCGTGAGAATTCAATAGCAGATATTCTGAAGGACTCTAATTTCAGTTATGGTACTGTTCAAAGGATTTTAAAAAAATACAAATTTATTCCGTATAAGTACCGACCAGTTCAAACGCTTTTGGCAGGGGATCCAGAGAGAAGACTTGTTTTTTGCCATTGGTATCTTAGCTTCTGTCGCCAAAATGTAAATAACTTTCGATACCTTTTATGGACAGATGAATCAAATTTTTCAAATTCTGGAATGTTTAATAGAAAAAACCACCATTATTGGTCAAGAGAAAATCTTTTGTTAGTACATCCAAGAGGCCCACAAGTCCGTTTCAGTTTCAACGTTTGGTGCGGTATAATTGGTTCAAAAATTGTTGGCCCGTTCTTTTATGAGGGAACCCTAACTGGTGAAAGATATGTGGAATTTATGTCAGAAATTCTGACTAATTTCTTAGACGAATTGGATCTTATAAGTAGACATCATCTGCATTTTCAGCAAGATGGCGCACCTGCCCACAACTCCAGAGGTACTTATCATTTTCTAAGTACTACTTTTAATGATCAGTGGATAGGAACAAATGGCCCAATACAGTGGCCTCCCAGATCACCAGATCTAAACCCACTTGATTACTTCTTGTGGGGTTACTTAAAGAACCAAATTTACAAGCGAAGGTACGATACCCTTGACGCGTTAAAGACTGCAGTTAGGGAAAAGATAACCCAGATATATGGTAGGACCATACTTAAGACAGTTCGAGCAGTTGAAAAACGTGCCCAAAAATGTATTGAAGAACAAGGTGGTGTTTTCGAGCATCTTCTTTAAAAAAAATTGTTATTGTATTTTGTAAGATTATAAGTTGATGTTGAAAATAAAGTTTGTCGATACAATTTAATTGTCTCAGATTGGAGGCCATAACTTCAACAATTTGTAACCTAGGAGAAAAGTTATTGTAAGCTTTTTTGTTTAAAATTTGATGCTTTAACAGAAAAAAATATAATATACAGGGGTTTCCATTTAAAAAAATGTTATTTTACTGAAAAAAATCAAAATAACGACTCTCAATTGTTTTTTTTTATTTCTCATTTTTACCAGCGTTAAAAATGCTACTAGTTTGCTAATTCAAACAACTTTGTATTTTCACTAATAACAAAGTTACTAATGGTGGACACTTAATTTGGATAACCCTGTATATTATATCACTGTATATTAAAAAGATATTTTGTTTATAGGGTCGGGCGCAGAGGATATTTATATTCCAAGCTTATTTTGGTTTAGTAGTATGGCCTTTTTGGATGACGTTACAACATCAAGGAAAACAGTGTGTACTCCAACTACAAAACAATATGTAAGTATTAAAACAACTGATTCTTTGAATTTTCAGTAGTATATTAGTGAAAATGGAATAACATTCTATATAGAGTTAACATACTCCTAAATGTATTTCCACTGAAAATCAGTCTGTCCCTCATTATAAAAATACTCTGCAAATTCATCGCGAACAGAGCGTGCTATGTCACTTGTATTGTTACTTCCTTGATGGGGTATACTCTTCATTATTGACCCAATATCCTCATTTTCAGTATTGATTGCAGTAATTTTACAATGTTTTTTTAAAAAAATATGGAAGACACATGCACATAAGACAATTTTGTCAATATTTTCGACTAAACAAATTGGTTTCCTAAATACGCGAAAGCATGATGCTAAGATTCCGAATGCGTTTTCCACTACTCGACGAGCACGACAAAGTCGATAATTAAAAACTTTTTGTTTTGCACTAAGAAACTTGCTCCTAGGAAACGGTTTTAGCAAATTTTTTGAAAGAGCAAACGCGTCGTCTCCTAAAATAACATAAGGTACGGGTTTGACGCGATTTGGAAGGTGCTCATCAGATGGTATATTTAACAGGTCTTCATATAGTTCTCTATATAAGGTAGAATTTTTGAATATACCTCCATCGACATGCGTCCATTGCACCCAACATCTATATATAAAAAATTACATTCTGCATCTGCCAAAGCTAAAAGGACGATACTATGTGTGCCTTTATAATTAAAGTAATAAGATCCTGCGTTTGGGGGAGCTTCTATTTCAATATGTTTTCCGTCTATAGCACCAATAGCGTTGGGAAAGTTCCATTTGTTTCTAAATTCGTCGGCAATTTTTTTCCAGTCATCTTCAGTGCAAGGTACCTAAAAAATATTCTTTTTTAACTTGCAGGTCAAAAAATCAACAAATAAAGAATGTGATAATACTATTACACCTATTACACAAGGAACGTCACGCAGTACTAATCCTCCTCGCAACAAAAAAGTTCGTAGACAGGAAACAGATTCTGAAAGAGGTTTTGAAGATGCCGTGAGTAGTTTGAGTGCGATATGTAAGGAGGAATCAACAGAATTTGACAAGTTTGGGGAGAGCATAGCAGCGCAGCTAAAACAGTTTCCTTTGGAAGATGCTGTAAAACTGCAATTAGAAATTCAGCAACTTATAAGGCAAACCAGATTACGAGTAATTAACCGCCATAAAACTTCGCCAGTTTCGATAAATACTTGCAACCCAGGATTAACTGCATGTATGACATCTCCATTTTCCCCAGATGACTATAATCCCTCACCATCTTCTGTTAATTCTTATCACTCAGATCATACAGTGAATGTTCTAACATAAATAAAAGAACTAATGATTCAAATACCATTTTTCTAGTAATGTGTGGTGCTCAGATTATTGACCAGTCTAGTGAAGACACAGATATTTAATATTTTTGTAGAAACCTTAATAAAATTACTACTAACAAAAGAAGTTTTTAAATATTATTATAAGAATTTAATTTTGTACATACCTTCATATATTCTGGCTTCAAGTGCGAGTAGACAGCTTGACATACATGAGGGACAAGTAAACTAATTGTAGAAGCTGATACTCTTGTTAAGTATTCTAAGGACCTGTAGCTATCTCCAGTTGCAAGAAATCTTAATGTTATTGCAAGACGTAATTCGGAACTTATAGAACTTCACAGGTAAGTATCTTGTTTTTCGATGTCTAAACGAACCTTAAAATTAATTTTAAAATAATCATTAAAAGCTATTTTATAACAAAGTACTAAACTTACCTTGTCATATAACATCATAAACGTGTCATATTCCATGCGCATAAAGTTTTTAAAATCGTTTCCGTCTTGTGCTAGTAAATCAGTGAGCAAAGTTTGCTCAATACCCACTCTGTGACGCTCTTGTAAATGTGGTTTCACCCAGATGCTTCTATTCTGTGTAACCTTTTTCTTCTCGCTTCTTTTTTTAGAATATTTAATAATATTAACGCGACAGCAGCTCGTTTATTCTTGGAGGGAACAATTTTTAAAATTTCCAAACTATACGAGCTGCTCATACAAATCTAAACATTCACAATTCTACTCGTAGTGTTTATCCGAGTTGCTCGGATCCGAGTACTCGTAAATGTAAATGCCGCTTAACACATTATTTTGCCGAAAATGGACTCATTTAGAAACTTGTTTGATAAACCTCGACAGCTGTCAGAATATGAATCATTCTATTCTGCTGCGCTCAAGAATTGATCCCCTAGATTTTGTAACGAGAATTAAAAAAATGGCGCATGCGATAAATTGCCTGCTGCTTATCAATAAACAGCCCTGCTGTGAAGAAAACCTATTTTCTCTAAAATTAGGTTTCTGCATTCTGCAAGGCAAGTTTGAAAAATGAGACCACAAAAATTTTACTTAATTGAAATCACCTGTTTTTTGTTGTTTTTTTATATAAATAATAGATAATATGGACCAATTTAACTACCAAATAAAGCAAAATAATCTAAAAATATGTTTTATTAAAACTTCCAAATATTGTAAACTTCAAGATTCAACAAATAAGATCACGTTATCATTGTCAATTTTCACTTAACATATACATACAAATAGATGCTGAAAAATAATAAAAATTGATCATATAATTACAACACAGAATTCCAAAAGTATCAAAATACTGTATGGAATATAAACAGTCTGTATTAAAAAAGTGTATATGATGAAGTAAAGTAAGAAATGCAGGTAAAAGTAATAATACATGAACTAGTTTTTACATTAGATGTAAATTCCTATAAACACTAATAGTACCGCTTTATAAATGGATATAAAGTAATTTTAGTGTTTGGACGGATATGAAACTGAACGTTGTTCCATTACTAACAATACTAAAAAACACATTAATCATATAAACACATTACAATACGAGATTATGTCGATATAAGCTCAATTCTAATACAGAGTGGACGGAAATCGTTTCCTTAGAATAAATGAAACTTAAAGTCAATAAGGTGCTATTTAGCGTAATCCAAATTTTTTAACTTGAGACGGGGTTCTCAGGGTGTTGAGGATAGGAAAAAATTCAATGTCAAACTGACATTTAGCTTTTGATACTAAGCTAAATCATTAGTCTAATCATATTAGACGAAAATAACTCTGGTTTGCGAAATAATTGTAAAGTAATAATTGCCGCAAGTTGTTCAAGGGGGTATTCAAAACACGGACGCATAAAATGGACACACCAATTTTTGTGGGAAAACTTTTTATTCGATAACAGAGAGCAAACGTATTTTTTGGGATTCGATCGAAACTGTTGGCAGGAACTCTTCATATAAGATTTTTAGGTATTTATGAGACCTAGAACATAAGATCACACGTATAAAGTTCCAGCAAAAAAGATATGGCCGAAAACCGAGACAAACTGCAAGTTTGGGCACTTTTTGGTAATGCGACTTTGGTTTCCGGAAGATATTTGAAATTCTTCAAATTCGTAGGATTCATACTTCTAAATAACCACAACAAAATTGGAGTAGATTGGTGAAGTAGTTTTTGAGAATTTCTAATTCTTTAACCCAAAACACCTGTTTTCCGGTCATCACTACTAGTTTATTGAGCAATATACAGGGTTATTTCAAAGGGCATTTGATAGCAAAATACACTAGTTTACCTTGCCAATATGAATCGCAAACCGTTTCGGAAGATAAAGGTAATTTTGTGCAAAAAAGGATGGGTTACGTTTTTTCTTCTAAACAAATTCAAATATCTCGTATTTGTGAGTATATCGCAACAAAAGATGATAGACACATCCGCTTTGTTTCAAAATGTTTATAGTAACGTATGTTTTTCGAATATCTTAGCGCTTTTGTTCAAGTACTCACAAATACGAAATGTTTGAATTTGTTTAGAAAAAAAAACGTAACCCATGTTTTTCGCATAAAAATAACATTTATCTTTCGGAATGGGTTGTGATTCATATCGGGAAGGTAAACACGTGTATTTTGCTTTTAAATGCTTTTTGAACGAACGCTGTATATTGCTCAATAAACTAGTAGTGATGGCCGGAAGACAGGTGTTTTGGGATAAACAATTAGAAATTCTCAAACAACTACTTGACCAATATATTCCAATTTTGTTGTTATTAAGAAGTATGAAGCCTACGGATTTGAAGAATTTTAAGTAGTTGCGTGAAATTATCGTCGCATTACCAACAAGCGCCAAAACCTGCATTTTGCCTCGTTTTTCGGCATTTTTGCTATTAGTCGGATCTTTTTACGTATGGTCTCATTTTGTAGGTCTCATAAATGCCTAAAAATCTTTTATGAAAAGTTTTTTAGTTCCTGTCAACACTTTCGATTGAATCCAAAAAAACACGTTTTCTCATTTTTTGTTGTCGATTAAAAAGTTTTCCCACAAAAATTGGTGTACACATTTTATGTGTCTATGTTTTAAATACCCCCTTGAACAACTTGCACCAATAAGACCAGAGTTTACAATTATTTCGGGGAAATTTGCTAATATGATTAGACTACATGTAATCTCCGAGAAACTTATCAGCTAGGGGACAACTCACGCGGGTTTCAAGGATAACTTTTGTTTTTGTAGAACCTGTAAGCTGTCCCCTAGCTGGTTAGCTTTTAGAGCCTAACGCGTAAGGTTACGCGATTTATCAGCAGCATATCCAGAGAGAACTTTTGTGGTAACTCTCGGACCCGAAGCACAGAGTTTGTATCAAGCTCATACGATTGTTATCCAAGGGCGACAAAAATTTTCTCCGTTTTTTTTTTTCAGTGACCTTTTGGGGAGGACATCTCCCGCAGTACCCCCGCGAATCTGCCTAGCCAGATTAATAATTATAGTTATGTTCTTGTATTGGCAAATTAGTGAATGTTTTTTATATAAAACATACATTTTATGTATATGTACATATGCAGTGATGTACAACCATTATGCTATGTACACAAAGCAAGATACAACAAATACCCATTGTACAAAAAATAAAAGATTTTAGCGACTTTACACGTGTGCATAAAAATAAGATAAATACACTATGAACAAATGCATTGCATTGCAACAACAAATACTGATGTATTTAACTCTTATTTCTATCATTCTTAGTATAGTTGCTACCTTCTTTTAATTTAGGCTCTTGAAAAGGTATTTAACTTGCAACACTGACTTTTGTACATAGTAAGCTTATGCCAGTGAATAGAGATGTTATCCTAAAAATACCCAACATATAACATATTTTTATACTCTCTTCTGTGTATTTCCTCTACCATGTTAGGAAGATCAGCAATAAGTACCACTTATTTTTCCTGCTTTCCTATATATGTAGGTTACCAAACACGATTATTATACATAAAATATTATCCTCTATTCACTGGCTTACTTGGTAACAATTAGTGCTACCAACCCTTTGTTGGTTCAGGCTCCATTTCAAGCCTGCTCTGTGATTCCATCATACGTTCCTGCTTTCTTTTCTGGACGTGGTTTTCTATAAAGAAGCAAATTGACGCTATCAGAGTTGCCAGAACTCCAATACACGCAAGTATGAATGACCAGCCAAAGAAGTTATTGTCATGACCTGGCATCCAACCATTTTTGTTACCTGAAAATAATATTTCGAAAATGTAAGCCCAAAAATCTTCAAACAGACAAAAATTATATTATACGAGTAGCAGTGATTATTGCTTCTTTGTCTTGCATGCACATCGTTATCAAATTCTCATACAAAATGTTGGCTACTTGTAGATCTTTACAAAATGGAGTTTTATAAAACGTTACGAAAAGAGGGTCTGTTCTTAAATAAATAATAAATATCTTTATTGCCATTTGAGTCAATTTTCACAACACACCTAAGACAATCATTTCAGGACCTACTATATAAATATTAACTTTGCAACTGTCTTAACTTACTCAAGCATGCAAAAACAATGACAGCAATGGCTCCTGACAGCCCCCCAGCCAATAGAATCCATGCATTGAGGCCAATCAATGTCAAGAAGTGATCCTGTTCCGGTCCACAGCACAGGAAATAGATGAGTGTCAAAATGCAACTCAGAAGCACAGCTATGAAGCAAAGGGTGAAGAAAAATTGAGTGGCTACCATGAAATCGGGCACCAAGTAGCCACGAATCTGGTCGTATCCTGTCGTGAAAGGGTCATAGATCCATCTACAAATTAAAAAAACATATTTCACATTCACGTTTCTTATACAGAACTGCAGATTTTTTTTTATAAAACATCAGTTTGAATAAATATGTGCAGGGCCAAGTACTGCACTATAAACATCCAATACTGAGTTAAGGTATTGGACAGAGGATCAGAAATCACATCTGGGTCTAAAGTAACAAATCTCTTCAATCAAACACAACAAAAAGATGGATTCAACACAAGTTCACAAACATAAAGTTCGAAAAAGTTAAGGTGCCAGCCTCTATTACAAAAAATAATCCACCACCATTCTTTCAAATGTAACATCTACTGGAAAACAATAGAGCATAAATTGTAAATTATTCATATCCCTATTACCATACATAGGAAGTAACATTATAACAAAATACTTGATGTATGTAGAAACAATAGCTAATTAATAGTATAATACTGAAGAAATTTGTTCTTTAGCACTCCAAAGGACACATGGAAAAACTTGTAGTTTACAAAAAGTCAATCAGCTCTTTCCTTTAATTGAATTCATCTTCTAAAATATAAACATCAATCGATTAATCAACTTTTTAATGTGAAAACAAAACTTTTTGCAAACAAATCTATAATGAAATAGACAGACAAGGGCAAATTAAAACTAGTATTTTTTTGTGCTTTTTTAAGCATTGTAACATCAATCGGTAATAATTGTAGCAAGTGTTTTCTCAGCAGCATCATTTAACCTCTCTCAGTCAGGTGTGCAAGGTTATGGCAAAAACACTTGCAAGTACCTAATCAAATTACCTGCAGCCAACAAAGAATCTCTGATGATCAGTAAATGCTGTGCTAGGGTCTGGCAGAGATCTAAAGCAGTGTGTCCATAAACCTAGCCTTTCCAACTTAGCCCCAGTTATGCGGTAGTCTGACACCAGCCAACTAGGAGTAGAAAATGCTACAAACACCAAAACAAATGCCAGCACAAAGAATGCAATTCCTACATTGCCAGATAGAGAACGTTTCTTCATCTGGAAAAAAAACCAAAGCTTATAATATATACTAATAATTTAGCTGGAAGTGAAATATAATGCAAAAAGCACATATTAAAGACAGTGTAAAACCAAGATCAAAGAAATGGGTGCAATATGCAAAAGGCCAAGTACCAGTGTTATACCCCCATGACCTACATTATCTCGTTTGTGTTCTTGTTTGGAAAAACATACTAAAATAAATAGTAACATTTTTAGCTTCTATAAAGAGCTGTTTCAGAATTTGCTCCATATGAAATCATATAATACTTTATTTCCATGGTACTTAAAACATTTTTGTTTGTTGCTCAATTTTTAACAACCAGGTGTATTTTTTATAAAGCACCTGAAATTACACTAGGAAAATGATCACATTGAAGATTATTAATATGAATCATTTAATTAATGCTTACCTCGTCTTCTTCGCGATATTCTACCATTCTAATCACTTAAAATATTCCCAACAACCTGCTCAACTTCTAACACAAACAAAACAAACGGTTACCGCCTTCGGTAATCGCATACATGCTCCGATATGAAAATGTGTGTCACACCTTTAAGCTACCAAGAAGGTACAAAAGAAAATCGCATTTAAAAGTGTTGCACAAATAACAACAAACGGTTATGAGCAATACACGAACTCGACCACACCTATGAATGAAAACGCTTCGTTGTTTACTGCTTGATGACTTGGTGGACAGAAATTTCTGATCCACCTGTATGTGTAGCATAAACATCCTACCTTTGATCACCGTCTTACACTGTTGCCAAGTGTACCATTTGCAATATCTAAAATCAAGGCCATCAACATTCCGCCGTTGAGCCGCGTATAGATCTCGACAACCAGTATAGTAGTGGCAGGATACTATAAATTCTAATTTTGAGTGATCTTGATTAATTTCGCTTTACATTTTATAAACAAAATCTGACATCTGACCAGCGAATTTTTATAACAAATAACAAGTGAAATAACACCAAGAATCAACCGCTATGTGTACATCAGTGCGACTGGTTTGACCACCACTCGCCATGACCATCACTCAGAACACTTTCATAAATTAGTAGTATGAAGTAATGAATGGACTAATAAGCGAATTGAACATCCAACACAAAGAGTTTTCCTGTGTTCTTTCAATATTCTTTTGATCTGGATCCTGGATCACAGATAGTTTGCGATGCAATTACAATCGTTCCGACTTAATGTGACATTCTGGCAACGTTGCTTCTACCCAGGAAAGCAACCTATAACACCATTGGCGCACCCACAAAAAGATATCGAGGGAATCGAATCAGAAATGTGTCATGGTCTCTGGAAACAAAAAAGTTATAACGATATTTATGCGCGATAGTAGGTGATTCAGCAAAAAAATGAAAAACGATCACCGTTGTCCTTAGAGCATTACGGTTTTCATCAAAAATCATCAAATAACGTCCCCAATTTTTGTTAGTTCATGTACCAAACACCCTCCGTATACCTATGCAGAGAGGACTGTCCTTTTGGGACTGGAAGTAGCAATTCAAAAAAGTTTCAGGCTCAATGGCTTAATTTACGAGAACTGGCATATACGCATTGTGGCAACAGAAACGTCAGTAGTCATTGAATCGCCACCGTCTTTATATGTGGTTTTGATTTTTCATGACGGAGAGATATTATTATGATGGATGATGTCTCACAGCATTAAATAAGGTTTTCAACCTGAAGATAGCCAACTTAATGCTATATTCCCGGATCAACAAAATTATTCGAGATTAATTGAGACCCCATAGCATCATCTATTTGAGAATTTTCAAAAATTGTTTATCTCCTATATTACATACTTTGAAAAGCAGTTTTAGAGTCTCATAGATGGCGCTACCTATAGGCTCGTATATGCTCATATAATTGTCTACAGCGCCATCTATGTAATACTAACCGTTTCAAAGCATATATAGTAAATACATTTTTTCTGGGATAATTTTTAGAACGGGAATATAGCGTTAGGTGTTAGGTTGGCTGTTCAGGTAGAGTACGGTAATCAATGATCACAGTCAATCATCTATAATTACTGACAGTTGCATTTATACTGACTTTATAAATTTTCTAACTCATCTTCTAGTTTCCATAGGTCTACACCAATGATTTCAAGTAGTTCATATCCTAAGTACTCCATTTTTGGGGTCAAATCAATTAATTTCGCTGGCAAATATGAACACGCCTGATTCCAACATGCATACTTACGACGTCACATAAAACATTAGATAGAACGATGTTGCAATCCTCTCTGCATGAAACAAGTATGTGGTGTCCCAAAAATAGCAAGGTGATTGTTATAAGGAAGACATAATTAATGTTATAAATATAACCTGCACATTTTCCTACTTCAAAACATACTCGATCTGCATAAAAATGTCAAGACTTTTTCTAAAAAGTACGTATTGTAGCTCACATTTTAGAGGGAAAATTAAAATTTTCCAAAAACCGGTTGCAAAAGACAGATTTGCCGGTGTAGACCGGCAAAGTAGAAAAATCGCTCGCTTCTGGTTAGTCAGACCGACGGTTGATCGCTTCCATATCAAACCTCATCAAAATAAAAATGTGTACGCAATTATGATATACACTGAGAACCAAATTTGTCTGAAGGCTTGAGTTCAATGTGTACGAGAGATAATTATGTATAGACACGAATGTTAGAAAGAGAGAAGCCAGATGGATAGCGAAGCTCATCACCTCTGCCGCGTTGCCAATATGTTACACCAGTTCCCTGATTTAAGATGCATGTTGAAAATATGCGTTAGTTTATTCTCTACGCGTTTTTGAATTGTGTCGAATCTGTTCAGGCTCGAATCCGGATCAGTCGTAACAGCGCTACATTTTGTATCGAAATGAAAGCTTAGGATCGCTACATTGCATCATTGGTTCGCAACACCATATCTCGTACATTTCAAGGCAAGGTTTTCACTTCCATGATCTCATAGACGAGCGATTTTGGTCTACCGCTCATTTGGGGGGGGGGGGGGGGGCTGTCGTCCTGCTTCGAAATGGTTTTTACCTGCGTAGACTCAGGCAGTGTTAATTTGTATTGCGTATTGTATTTGTTACATGATGTTTCTGACCGCTCGCTGTCGCAAAATGTAATAATAACACAGGATATGTTGATTTTATTATCATTGGTGGACATCAAAGAAAATTTTAAAATAAATTAAAACACTAAGTCGCATCGAAATTGAAATAAATAATTCTGATCAAAATGAAAACAAAATATCTAATTTAATATTCAAACACTCCTTATTGGGTTTGACAGTTAACTAACCTATTGTAGAAGCCTGTGCGAACATTTTCTGGTACATTTTGGCAACGCGGCAGATTGCACGACATTCTGTGGTGATGACCTTCGCTCTTCAGCCGGTTTCTATCTCTTTCTAACATGTGTCGGCACAAGCTTCTCTCTCGTAAATATTGAACTCAAAGCGGTCATACAAATTTGGTTTTCCCTGTATATGAAAAAGTGAATCGCGGTTGTAGAAAAAAAGTGTTACGTCCAGTTAGACGACAACCACCGCCACTCTTGAAATATTACCGCGCTCAGATTTGCGTCGCGCGGAATAGACGAGCAGCAAAGCAGCACTTTGCACTCACATTTTGTGGCAGGCACACTTTTGGTAGTTAAAATAAATGAACCTGTCAGGTGATATATTTTGGACACCTCGTAGCATTAGGTGGAGCTGTGAAGCAATCCTCTCAGAAATAAGTATAATAGTGAAAATGCCACACCATCAGTCAAGGTCGTGAGACTGTAAACAATGTTGTTTCATCTCGACAGTATACTTGAACTACTTTTAGGCAAAAATAATTCTCACGTTAATTTCTGGAAAACACAATTTATTTGTACAAAATATATGTATATATCGTAACAAAGTACTATATTTTAACCTAAAAGTATGTACGGATTTTAAATGCAATACACACATTAAAGTATTAGTTTTAACAATGTTCGATTTGATCTCATCATCAAATTCAAGATATGCCACTTTATGCAGCTCGGCTAAATGTATAACTTATTATAATGCGAATATAAAAATACAGTATTTGATAGTATTTAAAGTTGAAAATATACAGTGCTTTACAGAAAATTCCTCTATCCCTACTTATTATTTGAACCGGCCAAGTTAGCAAGCTAAAATTCGGGGTGACGAAATTTTCGCATGAATACTATATTTCAACATGAAAATAAGTATTGAAACTCACAAGATGGCAGCTGTCATTTTGTAACACTTTTTTAAATGGAACGAGTTTCATGTGATGCCTTATTTTAAAGCTCCTTATGAACACTTCATCCTGGAATATTAAATAACTATCTTTCAAAATGGCGGACTCGCTGGCTGCTAAAATTGAACGTTTTTGCACCATACCCGACAATAATTGTTCAACGTAATAGTATATGTCATAACAATATTTTTCTTCTTCAAAAACATTATAGATTTTGTTGATTTTAAAGTGGTATGTTCCATATTTTATCACTTAATCAGATAGACAATTCCAAAAGGAAAAGATTGGTGGCATTTTGATGATTAGTTGTTAAGTGATAAGACACTCAATATACAAAAACGCTCAGATTTGACAGCCCGTCAGATAGCCACTCTGAAAGATAGTATTTTTATATTCTAGAGTTATAAAGTACCCGCAAGGAGCTTTAAAATTAGTAATATACTACTTCCATTCCATTAAAAAAATGGCTCCCAGCCACATCCTCAAGATTTTCAACTGCTACTTTGACGCTAATATGTTATATTTTTATTATTATTCATACATTAATTTCATTATCCCGAATTTTAGGTTTGCTTACTTGACCCATTCAAAAAATAAGTAAGGGGTATTTTTTGAAAAACACTGCATAAATGGACTTTAATATATTTGCAGTCTATCTTGATCCGCTACAGTTCTGATTGTAATAAGGAATAAACATTTGGTTTGATTAGTGTGACTATTGTTCACTTTTGATCTATGATACATATTTTGTATTTGACCCCCTCATGCAATTCCTGTCTGTAGTTATGTTGGCGGATTTTAAGAGGTAAGGTGACAGTAATATTTTTGACATGTCTACAGCTCAATTATTATCGAGTTAAAAATGTTCAACTCCTGTTTTTTTGATTACTTTTGTCACGTGAATGCGCAGGAACTTTCACAGTCTTATTGCCAATCATGCACTTTAGAAAAAAAAGACCTTAGGTCGCACGTCCCTTTTTTCGCTGCTTTTTCAACTATCTGTTTGCAACAGTACTGTAAAACCTTTTCATCTGATTACTTCATTATGTGTATAGAGATCACTAAAAAACATCGTTTGTAATTTAATTTTGTCATAAAATGCATTTTTACATCGATTGTAACTTGTTAACAAATATTAGTACAGCTCTGAAACTGTATGTGAATATTCCACTTTTATGGATGAATGAAACAAGTGATTACTTTTATTCTTATCACTTTTTCTTGAAAACCCAACTTGCTACGAGTCGAGGCTTGAAGAAAATCATAGAATTTTCGGAAAGGAAAAGTGATAAGGACAAAAGTAATCACTTGTTTCCTTCTTCCATAAAAGAGAAATATTCACACATAATTTCATAACTGTACTTATAATTTTTAACAAGCTCCGTCTGAAGAAAAATGCACAAAAATGCATTTTTTTAAAAGTAACATTGGTTTGTTACTCATCTCTATACACACCATGAAATGATCAAATAAATAAGGATTTAGAATAGTGCTGCAAACAGGTAGTTGAAAAAAATCTAAAAAAATTGACGTGCCACCTTAAGCTTCGTTGCTGTTAAGGATAATTTTTTCTTCCTAACTTTAATTAGCTCCATACAGCTTCCTGTTTGAGATATTTGCATGACCTTTTGGTTTGGATCACTCTGCATCGTTTTTAATAATACACATGAAATATCATAATTACTTGCAACATTAAATAGGCGTCTGACCAGAATTTCTCATGGGCACCATATTTACTGCAAATAATGTCATATCTTGTTGACATTGTACATATGAATTAAGGAGATTCTAAAAACAACGTGGACGGATATAGTGAATACATTTTCTCTACTAAATCTATGTGCATGTCAAGACAAACGACCATTCAATAATACAAGGATATAAAATCAGATCCCACAAAAAATTTAAAGCTTAAATAATAAATTACAAATACAAGATATATGCAATAAAATTTATGAGATTCTGTAAAAATATTTTATACATAAATTATAGCTTTTCAACTACTTGGACCAGTTACTATCAAAATAAGTAAAAAGCATTTCGTAAATTGAGTAAAAACAATATCCATATACCAACATTTTGGAACATACAAATCTGACTCCATTGTTTTCATTTTGTACGTACAAGGCAGAATGAAGTTTAATGCACCATAAAATCATACCTCAATCTTCTATAGCAGTTCTTTCAATCTAGGTCCACATGTTCCGCATATATAATTCAAGTATAATAACATATTTTTAAATGCAATATCCAATATGAAATGATAATACTTCGGTGTTTGAAATACTTACTAGAAAAAATTCAGATCAATCTTCAAAGTAGCAAGCTATAAATAACATTTGTTGTCAAATTTGGCATCTTGTATAATCTGAAAATGCAGTTTTTTTCGACATTGGTGCATATATTTTTGCAAGACATTTAAGGTCGGCATGATACGTATTTTTATCGTTGACAAACGCGTTACGACGAAATCGTAATATTTACTTGAATTGAATGAATGACCTGTTAGTAACTTGCGCATGTACACAGTGGTTAAAAAAGGTACTAATTCTTTCCCAGAAGACGTCAAAAACGGAAACATTTTTAGAACATGCCATCGAAGAAACTTCCTTTCACGTATCTTACAGACCTAATAATGACAACTATTCTGAATAAAATCATGCTACTTTGAAAAAAGCAGGTTCTGCTTAAGAAATCTAAATTAATGCGAGGCATTCTATATATCTGTATGGTGAGGGTATGCGGGAGCACTAGGTTTAGCCTGAGACTGAGTAGGTTCAATGCTGTACTGAGATGTTGGTCTGCTGCTACCTCTTAGCCTCCTGTACTTAACCCTTTTAGCTTCTACAAGGAAGAGCACTCCAGCTGGGATAAGCAGCAATGAACCTACACAAGCAAAGCCAAATGACCAGCTCAAGTCATTATGTTGCCAATATGGCATCCAATCTCGGTTGTCACCATTTGCACCAAAGATGCATACTGCTATGAGCTGGAAACAATAAAATAATCACTTTATAAATCATAGAATATGCCAGAGCTATATAAAAAATATGATAAGTGGACTTAGCTATTTCAGAAAAGCACTTTGGTGCTTTAATACTGTCTATACAGCATTAAACCATATCCAAATACGTTTATGAGTTGGCTATGCAACAGGTGGACAGTGATTTTATACTGGTAAATTCGATATGGATAGCTTGATCAGCCGCAGAGTGTTTGTGCAGCGTCAATGGTGGAATATTGCAAGTTGTCAATAAAAAACTTTTTATATCTGACTGCCAAATTAATCGAGTTTATCCGTATGAAAATGTTTTTCCAAATAATAGTATTTGCACTCAATGTTAGTACTCAACGAATTCGGACTAGGCAGAAGGAGCAAGTATACAATTTGTTCAAAAGTTCATAGTACATATTGATTAGGCTTAAGATGTCGGTTTGACAGCTGTTAACATTTCACATTAAATTCGTATCTTTCTGCGAAAACATAGAAAATGCCAACATGGTGAAGGATACTGAAAAGTAGTTTTAAACTGAATAATAGCATATTTTTTAATCTGTAACGGTTAATATTATATTATAGTCATCAATATTGCGACAGTAGTGAGGTAATTTTGATTCACTTCTTGTTTTTTTTAGTGCTCAATTCCAAGCTAAGGTTTGATTTTGGTATCTAACAACAAAATTGCAAAATCTTGGGAGACAATTCTGATGGATATTGAAGAGGGTCTACCGAAACTTTAACCTGGAATCTTATCTACTTTAATTTTGGATCTAAAGCTTCTAAGGAAAGTTCTTTATTTTTGCGTTACAAATATTAATTTTGTTATCATTTAAGTGCCATGAGATTCTAGTGAGGAAGCTCAGTAGGGCCAAAAAAAATACTTAATATCAAACTAATTAAATCACTTTCAAACATTTTTATTGGATAAATATGACAATGATATAATGGATTTCCATATTATGCTCAACTAGATATTTTCCAAGAATCTGATCGGAAAAGAACAACCATTTAGAAAAACCGGGTACAATTCAAGCAAATTGTCGCAATGCTTCCAATATCAAGTATTCCGCCATTGCTGTTGTTTATTAAAATTATATTTCCTTCAGGTAGGTTTTCCACGTATTGAATTTTTGTATAATTTCCTTTAATGGGAAAAATTCAACAAATTTTTAGACGCCTGAGTTTGTTAAAACCTTTTTTATTAACATATTATAATCGATAAAGTCGGCTGTACAAGTATTTTTCTACCTTGGCCGTTCAAAATAGCCTCATACTATTTATTATTTTTAGTAGAGATACATACCTACGACGTATAATACATATAAAAATTTGTTGACCTACTATCTGATATATGTTAACAGTACGGTAAATTACCTTTAAAAGTAAATATTTAACAAGCATTATAATGTTTACTTTAAAACTGTATGTATTTAAAATGTATTTATTAAAACCAGTTTAAAGTATCTTCACAGAAGTTTTAAAAAGATTTTGTTTTTGCTTTTATTGACCGCTTTTAGTGTGGACTCTTTTATGATGAAAACGAGTTTATTACAAACTCAAGCCTTATTTAAAAATGAACTGGTTATAATTGCAGTTTCATTTCACTGTTTTTACGTATCCTTAAAATATACTAAATAAACATATTTGGTGCTGCTTGGGTAGACATCTTTTTGGAGGATACATTAACCAATCGTTTATATCCGCTCTATCTTGGATTTGGATGGGGTATACCATACTAGGCTGTATTCAAATCTCATTTACTCCCCATCAAAACAAATACTTGCGCGATGCTGAATTCGCAAGATCCCATTGGACAGCTAGCCATAAATGGGTAGTCAGTGACAAGTGAACAGAAGCATCTATCAAGTGTTCACGAGTGTTCTGACGCTGAGTGAATGAGGTTTGAAAGGGGTATGGTGTTCAATTTGTAATAGTTATTGTGTGATGGCGCTTGCCTTACCCCACAAAATCCTCCAATGACAAGATTGGCGCCATTGCTCAGGAGCAGCAACAAGTACTTATCATGGTCCCTACTGCAGAAACAATATAGCCATGTGAGAAAAGCAGCAACTAGCACCAATGTCATACAAAGTGTGTAGAAGAACTGTGTTGCTACAAAGAATCCTGGCAATAGGAAGTCGAAAATGATGTAGTACTCCTCCTCAAATACCCACCAGCAACCAGTGAAACGGTAGTCATACTGGTGTCGGAAGTCTTCAAAATTACGGAAACAGACTTCCCATAAACCTGAAATATTGTTGATAAATACAGAATTGTTCCTATTTAGTTAAAATCATGGAGGAAGTCCCCTGAAGTATTTATTTCACTTATCTGAAACACTAATCCATTAAAAGTAAACAAATGTATAAAAATACTTTTATCGATCTCACAAAATCTTTATTGGAAATGCAAGCATGTCTTTTCCAGTAAACTAGTGCATTTATGGTATTTATTTAGAAAGATACTTTAAACACAGGGTGTTCCTTAATGATATGATAATACTCCAGTACTCAAATAATTTTATGAAAACAAGTTTATATGAAAATGGGCCCAAAATAACTTAGTCTTAGGATGTTAAATCTTTATGAAAAAAAGTTTTTATTTTATATCTTAGAAAATACTATAGATAATGTTTTTATTTTTGGCATGTTATAAAAGAATATAAAATAGCATATAACATATAGTTGCTGTGAGCTGCGCGTTCGGAAGAGAATTTTTCTCTTGGCTAAGGAGGTTGTGATTGGGTGAAGGTGAGGGCTAGAATGTGTGCATATCACAGGCACACGTGTTCCCCTTTGCTCTGTATCCTCCTATAGCCTCACAGCACTCCCGGCTATTTTGGTCGAAGGCGTGTGTGGTGGCTAAAGTACAAAAAAAAAAACAGTGGCACCACTGCAAACATGTCTTATAAAAAATGTGGTACAGTTCGCGACGAATATTTTTTCTAGTTAGCTTTATCATTGCTACATAAAAACCCTATGTGATGATTTTCTCAACATCTGCAAAACTTTTAATTAAAATAATAAAATGGTAACTGCTTTTTTTGGCACTGTTGATGACTAATAAATCTCAGAAACAAATCTAGTTAGTCCGTAGCTAATATGTTGGTAGGAATGCTACTGGTGGTACAATAGAATAAATTTTATACTAAAATGCCATTTGACATCAAACTAGAGTATGTTAAAATAAATTATATTTAAAGTACTTTCGACGATAAAAAATTACGATTTTGACTTAAAAAATTTAAGCCTCTGCAGACATACGTTCATAAATCTATCTGAAGAACTATATTCTGGAGTATTAACATGTCATAAGGAAGAATTACTGTATACATATCCCTGTGATGAGCTCTGACAATCAAAATCCCTTGAACTTATTAGATATCTATCCAAATGGGTGCAAACTGTATGAGTACAGAAATAAAGTGGCAAGATTGGCCCAGTAACATATACCAAGACCATTACACAAAGTTATGTTACTACAAGTATGGATGCTGGGAATTCCCAGATTAATCTAGTCCACCTTGGAAAATTTGGGACCACCCTAGGTACTCATATGCTTGCCACCTTATTTGAATGTCCAAAGACATAGGCATGTGGTAAATATTTGATATTCCAGATTGCATGGGACTCAGGTGAACACTCACAATGCAGCGAATATGTAAACTCATTAAGAGTTGAGCATACATTTGTCAGAAAAAAGGTGCCTGACTGGTCAGCACATGCACAGATATATGATTCTAAAGCACATAAAACACTTCATATTAACGATTCAAATATACCAACAAAGTCTTATTATTGCCAGTGTTATGAAGACCAACAAAAGTTATTTCTCTGTGTGTCCCCTCCATTCACAGAGACTAGCAAGACTATTGGGCAACATTTGTGGGGGTCTGAAAAGTTGATTTTCAGCCTAGGGGTAGAAACTGTGAACACCCCTCTGGACTACAAACTGGTCAAATGATGGTACTTTCTTTTATACTAGAATGCTTTTTAAATATTAAATGGAACATTCTTGTATAAGGTTCAACTTTTGGGTTCAAAGTTGAACAAAACATGAGAAGATTTCAACAGTATGTTTGACTTGTGGAATGGAATAGTGAATCTACAATGGTAGGATAGTATGAATTGTATCAAAGCAATATACATCTGTTGATAAAGATAGAGTTTGTTACCTACAATGATGATAGGAGCTTATAGGAGAATTATATTTTAACTTTCTTTTTTGATGTTATTTGATTTGATCATTTTTTTTTCACATAATGATATGTGTTGAGCTTCTCCTATAATATGAAAGGTACATGTATTGTGTAGGTGAAAAATTAAAATGTTGCAAAAAAATTACAACTCTATAGGATGTTTAAAATTGTAAGAACATAATGTTATACTGCAGGTATAACAGCTCATTGTATAAATAAAAATATTTATCTATAGCATACCAAAAATGCATTAGTGTTATGGGAATGACAGCATTGAGTCTACAAAAGAATTCTCAAAATATATTTCAACCTTTTTCTTCCTTCAGTAGTTGTTTTTGGACAAATGTATTCTTCCTGTACAGTTTTACAAGGTTTTTTTAATATGCTTCATTTCAAATTGAAGATAAAATTTGTTTCTTTGATACCATTAGGAGAATAAAATATTTGATCATTCTGGTGAATGGGTCAAGTGGTGCAACAGATGTCTTGATGGCCATGTTTGTTCCACTTGGATTAATCATTTTTTTGAGAAACATACTGTATATTAGTGAAAGACATAAATCATACGATCTCCAAAAGAACCGAAGTCAACTAATAATAGTATCCAGAAAAACCTATATAGTCAGTTTTTTGGAAACTTTCACATAAAGATTTTTAAAGTTAGTGATTGTTCTACATCAAAATGAACCGAAACTTAATTCCTCACTATAATGTACCTACTCTGATATTTACCATAAGTAAAATAGCTCTACCGAATGGTACTTGATCGGCCACTCCTACAAGTGGGTGGCAGTGTGGCACAGAAAAACTCACCTAGTCGTATGAATTTGGGATCTTCCACTTTCCCATCGTTTACTAACCAATATGAGGTGCAAAATGAAATTAACACAAATAGGGAGGCTACAGTCGTTAGGGTTATAGCACAAATTCCAGTTTTTGTTTTCATCCCCATTATAAAATCGCTTTTTAGCTAAAATAAACAAACAAAAATCACTAGTGGAAATGACAAATGAATCACCAGCTGACAACTGACGTTGTAGAATAGAAAGATGAAACATCCCAAGTCATAGAACTGGAGTGCTCGATCGCTAATGGAGTACTGCTAGCGAAATGAAATTGAAAATGAAATGGACATACTCTCTCGCATATTGATTAGTTGGAACTTGTTAGAGTACTGATGCACACTTGTAGAGCTACAGATTTATTTGTTTTTCTATTTGAAACGAGTAGAGGTGGTCTAATTAATTATTTTGAACAAAAAATATGTGGATGAAACCTGCCTTTCGGCCTCGGTGCAACATAAAAAGAAGCGTTCTATAGACCGCATTACTACTTAAGGACCAATCAAAGCGAAGCTTCATTTCAAAACAGTATTTTTATCAACCCTTTATTCCACGTTATATCAGTACAAAAGTATTTTAGGAGCTATTTGAAGTTTTCCATTTTATTTCACAAAATATAGAGGAAAGAGGAACTGCCACACAGTGAACGAAATATTTATACTTTCCGATTCATTTGAGTCCCTAAAGACAAGAAAAATAATAAAGAAAATCTTCATTATCATATAAAAATGTCTAGAGAATTCCCAAAATGCAGATGGACGGTTCGTTCTAAATGAGTTTTCATTTTAGGTATAAAAAGCTTTGTACACAAAAGTTATAAGCAAATGTGTGCTCGATACTTGGAAAATATGCCGCTCTCTACAGGGTGGTTCAGAATAACTATACATGCCAACATAAAAAATGCATTCTTTTTTAAATGGGATATACGAGACCTTGTATATTAAAATATATTCTGAAAAGCCTCTTCAAATGTAGAAGTTTGATATATAGCATACTCTAGCTTGGATCGTTATTTCTGGGGCAACTCCATATTTTGGAAAAATGCTCAACTCTCAGTCACTTTTGCAGTTGGAGTGACAAACTTTTTTTTAAATTTTGTTCTTATAAACGCAAGACTTCCTTTTTCTCAAATTAAGTGTCAAAATAGGACACCCCTGTATATTTTTACAGTTTTATCTAATCTTTTTGTAAGTTGTATTTTGACATACAATTTTTTGGAGGTTGAATCAATTTTTGAGATACATGCAGTTTTCCAGAAATTACACTTCCAAAAATAAATATCTACCAAATATTGGGGAGGACATTCTTTCAGTGGATGGAAGCTAAATCTTAATGGCATGTATTAATCCACTAAAAATCACCATTGTTACGAATTCTGTGTATTTATTTGTTTTAAATTGTACTTTGGGTAAAACTAAAAGTAAACACCAAAGTTTTATATTTTAACCTCCGAAAAATTGTATACCAAAATAAAACATAAATTTAGGAAAAATTACGTATTACGCTTTTAAAAATCCGTGGAGATGATTCGTAAGATTTAAAAAATACCTAAATAACATAAATTATGGGATACGAAGCTCATTCTTACGGACTGACTTACAAGCTGCCAAAGTCTAGTACCCTTCTTTGAAGAGGCCCTTCAGAATATACTAAGCTATATAGGGTATTCCATTCACTAAGATGAATGTTTTTGTTGCCCTGTAGTTTTGGATCACCTTGTAGAGAGCGGCATATTTTCCAAGTAACGAGAATATATTCGGTAAATAACCGTTTTTGGCAGGTTTTACAATAACTAAAACTACTAACTAAAAACTCACCCAGTATTATAGTCTCCATCAAGGCTGTGTATTCATGCACTATACCACAGCTAACATTTAGATGTAACTTTTATGCAGCAGATAGAAAGTTTCTGAATCTCTCATGAATTTATTTACTACTGGTTTGGTCCATTTATTGGAAATCGCGTATATAAGAGTACTTCTTATGCTCGCAGTTAGTGGTTGGTTATTGGATACGTAAATGCTTACAAGATTTATATTAATATTTTTAATAATTATTCTTGTTTTCAGTCTTCTTCGAGCCAACAAACATTGAGCCATCCGAAAAACCATTCAAAGCAAAGCGGCTCTATTGGCCAGCTCTGAAGTTTGTGTCACCAAACATAAAAGAAGCGCAACGTATGGTCGAATTCCTAGAATCAACCACCAATCAAAATAACTTTTCGAACGCCGTCGAAGAAGCAGTCTACTATACAAAAAAGTTGCTAACGTATGTCGATAACGTTATTATAACAATGGGAAAGCACGGAGTTATGGTTGGACGGAAAAGGGGATCGGCGTTGGACGAGTTTCTCAACATTGTAAGTATATCTTACATACCTACTTCGTACATATGGTATGACTGATCACGTCTTTCTATATTGAAGCAGCTGCGAATGCCAGAGGGTTTATAAATACCAACAAAGCTGTAATAGTCTGACTGAAAAGCACATGTGTATTATCTCTTGTAACCATGACAAACCGCAGCCAGCGCTGTTCCGTGCACATTAGCAACACATCAGTATGATATTGGTTTTATGCCTAGTCGTGGAGACAGAAAAAACAGATGGTGTAGTCAGTTGAAAAACTCGAAACAGTGTGTACAAGCAGATGAAAACCTGACGATCGCCACCTACCAATAATCGTTTCGCCAAGCTGACTTTCATCATCATCCGCGAACGAAGATGACGATAGAGATGCCCTTCCGCGCTCTAGCTCATACCGCTCGACCTTCCAGATCACAACCGGAACAGCTGAGAGAAACTTTTAGGAATTAAATGAGATCTTAGGACTTCTATGAGACAACTTATGACTTCCAGACTTGAGAGGCGGATCTCGGAACGTTAAAATAGTCTTCAGCTATGGTTGATTTGATTAAAGAGTTTTCAGAAGAAAAAACAGCGTATCAAGTATATTGCCGCTGCACTTCCCACACTCTTTTTTTACATAGAAGCAGCCGCGCAGGCAGAAGTCTAAATTCCAGGACGCCCCGGCTGATATGAGGAGCTTAAAGAAAATTTCTTAATCCGATTTTTGAACTGCCTAGGGTTGGCAGAACTGGGACCCGCCTTCTCATATAGATTGTTCCACAATCTCGATACCCTAGGGATAAAGGAACGGTCATATCCTCCAATTCTGGATACTAAGTTCGACACGGTTTCGATGGGAGGCTGAAGTCAGGCGGGTCTATCTTATAGGCACATAACGCGGCGGCATCATGGAGGAAAGTTCAGACGAGCAAAGCCCAATGGCTTAGCGGTAGAAGAGAGTTAGATCGCGGTCGGCCCGCCGGTGCGAAAGGGTTACGAGACTGTGCGTTACAGAAGAGTCATTGATCAGTCGGACAGCCCTCTTCTGAACAGCATAGAGCATGGATAATGTAATTGGAGCATCAACATCCCAAACATATGAGGAGTAGTCGAGGCTAGGGCTTATCTGGGCCTTTTACAGAGTGAGGAAGTCATGTGGAGAATAGTACCTTTTAGCCCTAAACAAATAGCCTAACTTTTTACCAGCAGCTGCCGCTATTGACGAGACTAGTCGAAATGAACGGCTTTTTGGTAGAACTCGGTCATTCATCAAAACCGGATCAGCGCTAGAACGCTTCTTGTTCGTCAAGGTACAATACTTTTTATGGAAAGCATTAAACTGTACAAAACTACAAACTAGCTGCTAAGCTACAGGTCTCTTGTCAGAGAGGAAGTCGCTGCTAGTCTTGTTTTTTCCAGCACACCGGCAGAGATCGGCCTGCCGCTCTGAATTAATGTATGTAAAGTGCTCTTATCAGCAAAGCTGTTGATTGGATTGGTCATGCAGGAAAGGAGGCCGTTGATATGTAACAGGAACAGTATCGGGGCCAAGACCGATCCCTGGGGAACAACCGCGTTGACGTTGTCTGATGAAGAGAAAAACCATTCAATTACGACGGATATCTTGCGGCCAGAAAGAAAGTCAGCCACCCGCCTGCAAAGCTTCTCTGGGAGGCTATAGGATGTCAGTTTCCATAGGAGGGCAGCGTGTCTTAGCTGATCGAGCGCTTTCGTGATATCAGGAACAACGACATAAGCCTCACCATAACGCTGACGTAAATTAAGAGGTCCCCTGTGGACCGCTGGTACCGGAGACCGTTCTGCCTGTCGCTAGTCAAGCCGTGACGTTCGAGGTACTCCAGAAGCTCCAGATTTATGCACCTCTCCAACACCTTACTTATGAGAGAAAACAGAGCTATATGCCTGTAGTTGTAAGGTCGGTCTTAGATCCTTTTTTTGGATGGGTTGGACATGAGCAAATTTCCAGTTTTTTTGGCAAGCTCCGCTGCACACCTATTCAATACAATGGCAGGAATCAAGCCAGAAGTCTTGTTAATGTCGAACGACAAGAGCCCCCCCTCAATCACATAAGCCTGTTATCAGATTTTCCATTCCTTCCAATTTTAAATCCACACAAATGATATTTGAGTATCATTATATACGAATGAAAAATTAGTTTTGTTAAATGATCAGCATTTCTTGAGTCACATAGAATTTTTGTTTATGCTCTAAACAGAACCAACACAAGCAAATATTCAAAGTTTATTCAAACTGCAACATCGCAATTTTTTTCATTACTCTTAAATATTATCAGAACGTTGTAAAGGTAAACTTTGTCGCTATCACTTGACCGAATTTAAAAAATGAAGTAACACTGCCTATACTCTAACTTCATAGCATTCTGCTGCTCAAATGTTATCCAAATTGGTGCAGTTGTTTCCAAGAGAGTAAATATCTATGTACTGTGTCGCCATTTGAACGTACGGGCAAAATTATAATTATCGCATTTTTATTTACAGCCTCAAACTCCTGCAAGTGAGTCACCACAACAGATTCGTCATTACAAATCCCCTGATGTGTCGCACATCGAGAGCGTCAGTGGCGCCGGAGACTGTTTTGCAAGTGGATTCATCGCTGCACTGCTAGCAGGCAAATCCGAGAACATCTGCGTTTCTGTCGGTTTTGCAGCGGCTAAAATGGCATTGCAAACCAGAAGCCCTGTTCCTGATAAGTTGTTTGGGCAAGACCATGAAGCATGGAAAACACCAGTTGACTACAAAACCTTCCACTGAATGACAGATCGGATTTCGAAGGGTTTAATAAAGGATCACTGCCCTCAATACCACATCATATTTAGAGCGGGTACTGAAAAAGTTATATGTTTTACGTTAAATATAAATAGGTACCTCATTTTGAAAAATAATATTCATTATTCAGGACACTACTATATTTTATAATTGAGTAGTGGTTCTGGAATGGCAAAATGTGATTGTCCTTTTTGATATTTCATGGGTATGAATCGTTTTTTGCAACAAAATAAAATTATATACACATTTAATAAGCTGTATATAAAACTAAAGAATATTAAACTTCAATTTTAATATCTACTTTTTAGGACATAAGCTTTTTCATTTCAATGTTTCTATATTTAACATTTTTTTAAAGGTGTATCAGCATATATTGTAATTGTGTTATTTAATACCAAAATTGTCAATAAAGAAGTTCTAACAACATAAAACCTTTATTATTATCTCAAAAAGTGTGTATATTCATGCTGTTTGCAGAATTTTCATAGTCTTAGCCATTTGCATAGAAAAAACAATAAATTCCTTAAAAAGGCTCTTAATCGCAATGTTAAAAAAGTAAATAGATAGAGGATATGGTGTACATACATTTAGTCACAATAACATCTCAAGATCACATAATGTGTTGAGACAGAATTACATAATATAAAATATGCAGATCAAGTGTAATGCAAGAATCATACCACTAAGAATGTCTATTCACCCTTCACTGTTTTGCAACCTATTCAATAAATGTTGCTTCCACTCTTCCTCAGGGATAGTTTCTGCCCAATCAGGTATTGCACCTGGTGGTAAAGTAATGTTGGCCATAGCTTTTTTTACCTCATCTACTTTATTGCTATCCATTTCAATATCTTTTGGAGGAGGTGCTGACCATACTTCTTTCACCAGTATCTCTTCCATGGGGGTGATGGGAGGTAAGTTGACATCTGGTGGTGCAGTTATGCCACTAGCTTGAATTTCTAAGTCTGAAAGGTGATATTTCTGTCATAATATGAATGAAATAAATGAGAAATAAAATCACAATACAAATTTTTACCATTTGGTAAATTAAAATCTGTTTACTATAGTCACAAAACTATGTAGTGCTTGGAGCTGCCACATTATTATTCCATAAAGTGACATAAAAAATACTATTCAAGTAAAGCATCAATGTTAGCAATATCAGCAACCTATTCGTACTAGGTTCAACAAGTCATCTCCATGAACTCTAAGTTACTCCTCTTGTCACTTTGATAGCAGAAAGACTGTGACTGATAGAAGTGAGTTACAATATACAGGGTGCCCAGAAATCGACGTCAAGTCAGAAACAGGTCATAAGCCAAGTCATACTAGTTATCAGAAGAATATAAAAAGTCCAAATCCTGTACATTTCAAATTATAGATTTTTTTCTATATTTTTCTGATAACTATTGTAACTTGGCCTATCCCGCATGACATTGACTTCTAGGACACCCTCTATATATAATAAACATGATAAGACAGCTGCCTAAAAGTTATGATGAATTTCTAGGAGAATTTGTATGAATGTCAGAGCTCCTCACAGGAAGAGAAAAGATGCCACCAGCAATTATTGTACATGGCTGACATTGTGTAGTTGATAACGTTTTAAATGATAAACCTGGTCTCATTTTAGGCAGCTATCAGAGGGAGTGTAAATGATGATACTGGTTTGACTATACTCCCTTAATTGATGTTAGATTTGATAAAGCAAAGGATGTCAGGTTAACTTATAGTTAAATATGATAGCTAGATTTGCTATTCATACCTTTTATGGTGCTCCAACTAAGTTGCATTTGTATCACTTGGTAATGTCAGTGGACATCCGGTAATCCGACAAACATTATGCAGGGCAGTATCGGACTATCGAATTTGTCGGATTATAGAGCACTGCCTAAAACCCCCTATAGTCCAGAATTTTTTACAAAAGAGTACCTTGTAATCCGACAAATTACTATCAAATGGTAAGATTATATATGTTATGTTTTATTATAAAATTAAGCATAAACGCACATACATATGTACCAAAATAATCAAGAATTATTAATCAAAATCATTAATGAATTTATCAAATTATGAAGCTTGGAAATATTAATTTTTTTTGTTTAAGGTTGTTATAACGCGAGATCAGAGCTTTGTCCCTCAGTCTTCTCAAAAGTAAAAGTTCGTTGTAGGATGTACCATTCTCTTCAGCCCATTGTAAACCTAGCTCAAAGGCGTTAATTGCGTCTTGTGCTGTGACTTGTGGAGCAGTTGCAATCACGTCGTCGTTATTTTCCTGATTGTTTGTTGTATAATTAGAAACCTCTTTTATAATCTCTTCGTCAGACATTTCATGAAAAACATTTTCCTCTTCATCCATTCCACGGCACCAGATTTCCAAATCTTCCGGACTTATCTGTGTTTCAGTAGCGACTTGTTCTATAACTTTCGAATTAACACTGATTTGTGGAACGTAGCTAGGAGTGGTAACTATATCTGGCCATAACTTTTTCACAAAGAGTAAAAACCAAGTCTTTCATATTAAATTCTTTTAAAATTTTTTCTATTGGTTGGTCTTTTGACTCGGCTCTCACAAGTAGGTTTTTCTTATAGTCTAGCTTGACAAATTGAATGATATTCTGGTCCATTGGTTGAATGAGTGCAGTGCAATTTGGCGGAAGAAACATGGCAGTGATGCATTTATCCTCAGTTGTTAGTTCTTCTTCAGACTGGGAGCGTTATCAAGAAGCTACAACGCTTTTTGAGGAAAATTATGATCTTTTAACCATTTTCTAACTTCAGGTACGAAGCATTCATCAAACCACTTTTTGAAAAGGTCTTTTGTCATCCATGCACTTTTTTTTCCGGAATAGTGTACAGGTAAATCAATGTTTTTGAATGCCCGTGGTTAATTAGATTTCCCAATGACCATCATCTTAAGCGCGTGTGTGCCCGCAGCGTTAGCACATGGCAGTATGGTTACACGCTCTTTACTTACTTTTCGTCCAGGTACGGATATTTCGTTACAAGAAACGAAAGTTTTGTTAGGCATCACACGCCAAAAAAGCCCTGATTCGTCTACATTGTACACCTCTGACGGGTCAAGATTTAAATCGTTCACCTTTTGCAGAAATCTTAATTTAAAGGGCTCTATGCAGCTCGCATCGTTAGAAAGTTTCTCTCCTGTAATAGTCATTAAACGTATGCCATGACGACTTTTAAAACGTTCTACAGTATATTCAGATAAGAGATAGACCGGACATAAACAAGACCACGTGATCATCGAACGCTGTAACATTCGGCAGGGACGTATTAAGAGTCACGCAGTACATATTTTAGATAGTAGCATCTACTTTTTTGCCTAACTTTGTAGTAAATTAGCACAATTCGATGTGTATACGAATGGTGATGGATATAGGATCATGTGGGGGTGGGGTAAGAAATATATAATGATGTAAATATACATAAGGGTTTCAAAAAGTTCGCTTCGATTTCCAGCTTCGGATGCCGTCTGATGTTTGGTGAAATACAGTCGAATATAATCTCAAAATGGCGTTTAAATTAGCCTATAATTATAACAAGGTATAACAATAACAACGACAAACTCAACAACTTAATAAGATAACAAGCGAAAACGTCCAAAGAAATATCAATTTGCAATGATGCTCACGACATACGTAACACGTCTGAACCTGAATGTGACTCTGCCTTGATACGACTGCTCTGCCGCTCGGCATAGGCATTTAATTGTGAATTGACCAATGAGGGCTCCTGTTTTACGTCGAGACGGCGGCGTTAGCGTGAAAATCACCCGAACCTTTTGTTTACATCCGGTCTATCTCTTATCTGAATATACTGTAGCCATCCTTTGCTGGCCACAAAATCATCTTTTTTGTTATTTCCTTATAAAAATTAGCTTTCATGGCCAACCTGGGTACTGAAATTGGTGCATGCCTATTTCTTTCCTGAAGAAACCACATGTACAAAGCTTCTGGATGTTCAGCTGTCTTGAGTGTCTGTCTCTTGCCTGGCCCGCAGTCAGTAGTCGACACGAACTTCTTGATCTTCTCATGGTTTATTTTAATGTCATAAATTGTAGATCGGCCTATGCCGTATTCACTTGTTAAACTACTGAAAGTTTCATTGCGATTTAAGCAGTCTAAAATATCACATTTTTCTTTAATTGTCAATGTTCTGTGCTTTCGCTTCTGAGTTTGTGATAACATTACTAGGTACTATACTTAATACACAATGAATAAATAGTAAACAATGAACGCACGCTAGGCCAGACCACTATCACCAGTAGTCAAATTCAAACTAAGTAAAACAATGCATATTCAAAGACATGTCGGATTACAGGGGGCACCAGATTAGACAGGGACCGGATTATCGGGGGTCCACTGTAATAGTTTACACAGAAATGGAATGTAGATTGAAAGATGAAATTTGACTCTGGAATACTGTGAACTTTATTTTTAGAATGCCAAAATTATTACAGAGCCATATAACGACACTTGATGACAGACAACTAATTTCTAAGCACATTTTCTCCTACAATTTTATTTATTATATAATCCTGAAAAATTTATATTCTACCAATGTTGAGCATTTTTCAATAACCAAATAAACAAACAATAAACCATGAAAATAACAGATGACAACACTCAACAGGTACATCAAAAAATTACGAACATTGTTACAGAGTAGTACAAACTACACTCTGACACTCTGTAACAATTTTCGAACGTAACTCTGGCTAATAATTCTGATAACATACTTCTAAATACTCGATTGAATTTACCTTCATCTTCACTGCTGCTTTCATGACCAGACTCTCCAGAATCTTCCATCGGAAGAGGCTGATACTGGTCAATGGCAAGCGTTTCCTGGTCATCGGACTCTTCATCTGTTACTAGAATTACCCCAGTTTCATTGTTGGTAGGAAGCTCTTCCTCAGGATGTTCTGGATCTGGAAGGCCCGTGTCCACATCTTGTTTTACCATTTTCTGCTCTTTAGCCGATTGCTCTCCACATATGCGTAACATTTATTGTGCCACAAATCTCATGTTGCAGTGGCTTAACCAGAAGCACACTGAAATATTTGTAATAATGGAATTTATTAGCGATTCAACACTGTCATGATATCGTAAACAGAAATCAAAACCACAGATCTGTGACCACAGACAGAAACAGCTGATTTTGAGTTTTACACTGACAGCATTTTGTTTACAATTATTTATAGAACTGGACTGCTACTCAAAATTAGTATGCATGAAAAAAGACTAGAGTAACTTTCTATCAGTAGATAAATAAACTCTAAAGTATAGAATTTTACTTTCATCTAGCCTCTATTACAATAAAATCCAAAGATATATCAGTCATATTCCTGATCAGAGCTTGGAATCAGGAGTTGTCCTGGATATCAAGATATAACGTGCCGTTATATGAAATAGCGTTACCCAAACTTATCTAAAGCGCGACCGTTCGTTGAAAACATTGTTCATGACCCCCTATTTCCACCTACTCATCACCCAAACCAAAATAGCATGTCTAATTTACAAGTAACTGATGGTCTCTCAAATATAGATATATTAAACTTTACTGTTTAAGTTTAAGATATAAATAATTACATTAAAAAAGTTCAGCAATCATTCTGAAAACTACGATCTGTCTTAGTACTAACTAGTAGTACTTCTGCCAGCCTAGCATTTACACTAAAAATAAATAATAAAAGTCGACTATGGACTGTCGCAATGGACTGCATTTCTATTTGTCATTGTCCGTCAGAGCGGTCCGTGTGGGACATTTGCCCTCGTTTAGTATCGTAGGTCAGTAGGTTTGCCATGTCTGGTTGCCCAGATACCAGACAAAATCATGGAGAAAGAATGGAAGAAGAAAGGAAAAGAGGAAGGAAGAGGGAAGAGCAAAGAAGAAGACGTGCCGTACCGTCTGTTGGAGGGATGCTTTGACATTGTTAATTAGTATTCAGAAATTTTAAGTTGATCTAAGAATTAATTTAGAAATGTATGCGTGAAAAATTGTAATTTTGGTCGGGCATAGAACTACACGGTTTCATTTTGTTTCCAATGCCAGCCGCGGTCTTGTGTGCTTGATGCGAACTTGCTCAGCTCTGTAGTCTACTGACTCACTCAACAGAGAGTTGCTGTACGATTCTGCTCTACTATAACGTAACTGCGCCTTTTGTTTGATGTAGTCCCTTCGATAAGGAATGTTGCGAAGGGTTTCGTTGGAGACATATCATGGGGCGTTAGTGACAGTGAGCAGAGCTCTGACCTGCAGAACCTGCAGACTACGAATATGCGTCTTGTATAGCCGAACCTTAATCAAACTTATTTTTGGGGTTCTACATAGCATAGGGTAGAGTTGCCGAAATGTAATTTGTAATTTGGTTTTCAATGCTCCAGTGTGCTTCTGCCAAGTCATCCCCTTGCCAAGAATGACACCCAGATACTGGACAGAATTTTCCCATGGTAAACGAACTCATTCACTGAAACCTCAAAAGGGGCGCCGCTAAGCTTTTTAGTACAATAGATAGACTGCGTTTTCGAATAATTAATTTTGATCAGCCACCGACCCGCCCATTTCAATACTTCATCCACCCCACTTTGTAACCTGTCATGAACCAGAATCCCGGAACTCGATTGGGTCACCAGTGCAGAGTCATGAGCATATAGATAGACTTCACAGTATCTGGGGCAAGGGACGTCATGAGTGAAAAGTGAATATCTATAGGATTGGTCTGAGAACCAAACCCTGAGGAACATTAGACATTAGACAAGACATTATTAATTTTGATCCGAAACTTCTTATCTCCTAAGAAGAATTTCAAAAGTTTTAAGAGTCAAAATGTAAAGCCCTTTTGGATTAGCTTATAGAAAAAGCCCTTGTGCTATGCCTTTGAGAAATCTAGAAGCAAGATGTCAGTACTTTTGTTGAGGGTGAAGCATCTGGTCACTCGCTCCACAAGCCTAGCCGCCTGTACCCGAATTGCACGTCAGGAATCACATGGTGATCTGACGATAATCCTGAGGAAATATCGAACTCACCTTTGGAATCATTATAACCTGTGCTGACTTCCAAGCCGATGGGAAGTACTGGGTCCTTAGCATGTCATTGATTATTACCACGAGATAGTCAAGGATTTCCGCGAAAGCAGCTGCAGCGCCTTATTAGGAATTTGATCCTCCCCAGGTGCTTTACGCACCTTGAGGTATTTAGTGTGACCGTGAAGCTCTGCTGGTGTGCAATGCGGGATCTCGGAAGATGCCGCTGATGGTTGATGTGCTATGTAAATCTTCAGTTGAAGAATATTCCGAAAAGGAATCTTCTCGAAATCATTATCAATATCATAATCGTAACTGGGAGAGAACTGTCTTTCCATGGCATCAGCGAATACCTCGACTTTTTTCTCTCTGAAGACTATGCCACTAGGGCCGTGGATGTGCGGACGCTGTTCTCGCTTTCCGTTTCTGAGTGACTTCGCCACTATCCAGAGAGGAATACTTGAGTCAAGCATCCCCGCCAGAAAGTCGTACCATTGCTTATTGCGGAACTCGTGAAGATCATTTCTTACTTCATGAACAGGATTATCATTAAGAAGTTGAAGATTCCATTAAAGGAAAAGATTTGGAGATCTACATTTTTCGAAAAAAATTGAGAAGACATGGGTGCTTTATTTGAAAGTATTCATCACAGGCAAGTAAGGTGGCTGTTGACTTTCAAGGGGCAACATCTTAACAAGATATTTCACTTAATGTATTTCAAAGATGAGAAGCCCTCATATGAAAATCAACTATCCGATCCTGTTTGGCTTCTGAAACAGAGTTATTTTATTGGGTTGTCATTTTCTGCTGGACTGTCAGTGAAATAAACGAATGACGGATGCCCAACTAAAAGTGTATTAGACGTCAAATTATCGAATTAACAATAGTATCATATAACCACTGGTATACCTAAATGCATAATTTTATAATAGGATTAGGTCAAAAATTGATATGTGGGTGAATTAGTAGTTAATCTTTGAGGAACCAGGAACCCTCATCCAGACGCCACTGTTATAATTGGGAAACGTTATAGACTGAAGCATTAAGTCCCCCTCTCATAAAGTACCTACTTCCTTTCGCAGAGATTAAGCAAATGTATTGCTTTTTATGCAGAAACAAACATAATATTCAATCTTCTGAAGTTTTTATGGGTGTATGAAAAGGAGGGACATAACAATGAACAAGTTTTTGCAGTAGCTGCCGTAACTAAAGCTGATTTATTAGCAGAAGCTAGATGTTTATAATTTTTGTATTTTATAACAATTTCCCAAGTCAGTTGCATCAACTTCATACTCTTAAAATCCGCTTATAAATCTAAGTCTCTTTGAAGTACCAAATTTGGAACAATACGCCAGACTAGGATGACACAGTGAGCCGTATTCATAAAACAAAGGATATCCTTGAACTTGCAAATTTTGAAGGAAATCCTCCAGATGGTATTTATAATAATTTGAAGTGAATGCTTTTGCTTTTTGAGTATAAGCATATCCTTCAAATCAGCGGCATAAGTAAAAGGATATTCATAATCTTCACCTTATACTTGGCATAGGAAGCATATCCTTAAAAAATTCTGAGTGTGGTCAGTAGCAGACTCAACTTCGTAACGAAACTTGGTCAAGCGATGATGGCGTAAATTGTGGATGTTAGGGATGTTAAAACGTACAAACCTCATTTACCTTCACTTGGTCGTGACTTCAAAAAATTATATTAGATTTTTAGTTGAGAATGAGGAAACTCGAGGAGGAGCACTTTCATGTATTCATAAAATGAAGATATGTCTACGCTACCTCGGTGACCCTGGATATCAACAAGGTATTGGTCAGGAACTTGGTGTTAGTCAAGCAACGGTATCTCGGACTGTGGACAGAGTTGTGAACAGCATAGTTGCACAGTCGAACGAATGGATCAAGTTTCCAACTACCAACCATGAACTGATGGAGGCCAAGCGGATATGGCAAAGCATGTATACATAAATTTCCGACAGCAATTGGTGTAATTGATTGTACACATATAGGAATGCTGAAACCAAATCGCCATGGAGATGAGTATATCAACCTACTTTAAATGTGCAAGCCACTTGTGATGCCAGAGAGATGTTCACAAGTGTTGATGTCAGTTGGCCTGGATCAATGCATGATTCCAGAATATGGAGAAATTCACAGACTAGATCACAACTAATAAATAAAGCAAATGTTGTACTACGAGTACTTGGCGATGACGGTTATGGTGTTGAGCCATGCCTTATGACTCCCTTCGGAAATCCTACTCCAGGTGCAGAAATAAATTATAATAAGCTTTTAAAACAAAAAGGAGTTTTAATTGAACCTTGTTTCGGTCAACTGAAACTCCGGTTTCCTATCCTACAGTATGTTTGCCGCGTAAAGTTGGAAAATGTGCCTAAAATAATTATTGCTTGTATTGAAGATGAAGGAAATTACGAGAATGACGAACTTCCTCTCCGCCAACTAGGTCAACAACTAATAAGAAACTTGAGTATTATAATAAATAGTTTTACTGATCAAAGTATATTTAGCTGTATAAAATATAATAAATTTTATTTTCGTGAACATCATAAGTTACAGGTGACTTCTGACCCTGCATCACTTCTAATTTCGTTTTATAATACTCTTGTTGTAAAATACTTGTTTGGTACTGCTGTAATAGCACTAGACGTTGCAGTTCTTTTGCAGTTAACCATTTGGTTTCCTCAGTTTCGTATTTCTCTGTTGCTAATTTTCTTTTTGGTGGCAATGTCTTCTGAATTGCTGGCGTTGCGTTTGCTCACTGCATTCGGTATACAGTTAGTTCACTTCCTTCCTTCTTCTTGAACAATACCAATCTGAATGGCACCTCTAATTTTCCCAATTGTATGATTACAGTTACCTTCCATAGCTTTCAGCAACTTTCTTTCCCAATCTAACAATTTAATTGCTTTATTACCAGTTTTTTTTAGATCTGTTTTTTTCTTTAATCTCGATTTCATGTTGTTATTTTTAACCCTCTGTACATGAGTAATTGAATTTTTGTAAAAACTGTTCTCTCCACTTAGTATTTGACGAGCTAGGAATAAGGGGGCAGCTGCTTCCCTTGCCCCCCCCCCTTAGTACTCTCTTGATAGGACCCCTAAGGGTGCGTTTATGTTGGAGCCTCGATAAACAATACTAGCGATACTGGCGAAGCAAAGAAAATTATTTCGTAGTTTTATATGCAGGCGTTTATAGTGGAGCAACCAGTTGAAACACAAAGCAAAGTTAACAGCGTCGATAATTATCTCGTCCATTTTCTTCGCTTTTATCACAAGTGGTTGCAATATGGATATAGACAGTTTAATAAGTGAAATATTCATCAGGCCCACTTTGCGGGACCAAAAAGACAGAAACCATCATAACAGATTTGTTCTCGACAAATTATTATACTCTCCAAACTTGTATCTGGGTATTTATAGGATGTGCAGAGAATTTTCGCTTTATATACGTTTTTTAAAATATAGTACTTAACAGCACTTAACGACAAAAGTATTTCTTCTTCAGGAACACTCATTTTAATAAAAAAATGCAGTTAGGTGGGATCCATGTACCATACTTTAATTTTCAAAAAGCTGGTATCGTCGCTACTGTCGAAGCTCTACTATAAAATACACATCAAGAAATAAATTTTGGGTTGCTTTTGTCGCTGTTCTTATCGCCGCATTTATCATTTATCGAATCTCCAACATAAACGCATCCTAAGCCTGCCACTACATATTGGAAACGACGCTCATTACACTTGTCCGACGCCACTGTATTTTAGAAAGTGAGCCGTCTCTCTGTCCGGCAAGGTGGTCCCAAACGACCGACGGACGGTCATCGGAAAAAGAAGAGTTCACCTACTTCCCCAAATCTAGATTTCTAAACACACATTTTTATCGTTCAACCATGTTATTCTATGCCATATGCTATCCTCTCACCGCAACAACTCCGTTGAAATCAGTGGCTTCACCAAATGAGGGCCTATAAACTTACAGTAAAACGAAAATTAATAAGACATGACAAAGCCGAAATTATTTTTCAATAATGGCCATAATTTTTTTCCAATAATAACTATTGAAGCTACCAGTGCCATTGTATACCATAACAAGAGACCAGGATATCTAGAATTTCAGAAGCAAGAATTATATGCAACCGAAATGCATTTTTGAGGGTAAATGAAAAGGTTCTGCAACTAGAGATACAAACATTTGGCTTAGTAACTTTTTCAGTAACCGTCAAAGTTAGATAGTAAGATCTCTCCATATATTCAAAGAAACTATGATGTATTGGTAAAACTGCTCCAGAAGAAAGTTGTAGAGCATGCAGTACATTCAAACTAAATGTTCAATTTGCTGTAACGGTTTGTTTTTACTTCCAACGCCCACTGGCGCAGAAGTATTGTAATTTCAAAAAAAAATCGAAAATAAGATATTTATCGTTTTTACACCACGAGAAACCATGTCAATCATTACCGTCAGCCTGTCGGTCTGTTCGCCAATCTTTAACTTGGAAAGTACTGCATGGACTTGGATGGATTTTTTTCAAAATCGGTCCAGTGGCAGCGGAGAAAGGACAAAAAACAAAATAAAAATAAAAACCGCTTAAACTTCGTTGTTTGACGTTTCAGAGGATCGCGATGGTTTTTGAAAAATTTTGGAGGGTGGCAGTTGTGGGGGGTGGGTAGGGTGTATCGCAATCTTTTGATGTCATTATATTAATACACTTCAATCCTCGGTAATTCCACGCATCTACTAGATATATTTCACACTTCATAGATATCGCCGTACATGCTGCTGTCTGAGTTCAACTGACTTCAAATTGGGGAGAGGCGACGCCACGTTGCCACATAGATGGTACTTACTGACGGAGTTGATCCGTTATACGTAACAAACTTTTTTCTCAGAGGGCCTAGAATAGCCATTGCAGCATATTGGACCTATGAGGTCTCATTTTAACGTTTTTTTTTCATCATCTACAATTCTTCTGTAGACCACTTACACTTATACTTCACAGTTTTTCTTCTCTGACGTTTAATGAAGCTATGCAGCAATAGTTTTTGTATCTCTAGACGAAATACTTATACTTCAGGATTATTTTCCGTTGTAAAATCCGTCTATTCAGTTTTTTTCTTTTATATATTTTAATAGAAACGGCGACAAGTACGTTGGTTGTCTTTATTGAGTTGTTTCAAAAATTTTCCACGATTTTGATTGTTCAAGCAAAGTTTGGCGAGGAAACATACAGACTGTAACAGAAGTTTGGAATGCATCGACTATCTGATAAATGACTCTATTTTTCTTAAACATCGGCAGGTTTAGGTTTGTTTTTCTCAAGGGACGATATACATTTTATTTGATATTTGTATTCTGCGAGAAATTCTGAATACTATTTGCAATATTCGCGGTCAAACATTAATATTCAAACAATAAATGGTATTTTGTTCACCTAAGCAATGACCGGTATCGAAAGTAATTTGTCATTTCTGACATTCAAAAGTCAGTGAGTTTTGTTAGAAGCATTATTGAGAATTTGACGGGTTCCCAGCTTTTCTTACAGTCTGTACATGGAAAACGTCATTTATCAGGAGAATTAGATAATTTGTTGAGAAATTAAGTAATCAATAGAAATAAATGAATTTTGTTACTTCATTTGAAAAAAATAAGATGAGGGAAATACAAGTCGACGAAAATTCATTGACAATATATCACTTCTCAGTTATCAGTTCGTAAAGGGTTATGTTTGGCACAAGTTAGCCCTTCTGAAAACAACGTCGCACGTATGGCTACTCGACTGGAGGAGATTCTTATTATTTCGTGCTAAATATGTGTCCAGCATTTCTGGGGAGGCGTATAAATATACCAACGTCAAAAAATTGAGATATACCCTTCCTCACCCCTTGCAACCTCTAACCATCAACTTTTAACCTCTTCATATTTTTCCGAAAATGATCAGGATCATCTAAAACGTCAAAAAAAACGAAGATTGAGTGATACTATCATTTTGTTTTGGGCTTTTCCCTCCGCCGCCAGTGGATTGATTTTGAAAAACTACAAAGTTTTCGCGTCCTTGACATAGTAGTAACATTGTGTAAAAATTTCATCGAAATCCGGGTGGTACTTCTCAAATTATAGGCGGTTATAAAAGTAGAGGACAGACCGATGGAAATGAGTGACTTGGTTTTTCGTGATGTATACCTATGTCATATAACATCCAAAAACATCTCTTCTTCGAAAATTTTACCGATTACGCCCCACCAGTAGGCGTGTTAAGTACAAATATTTATTAACTAATTTCAACATTATTGTGGATATTAAAATGATTACTTGAACCGAAAGATGATTTGACTTGGTCTAGCATATACTCGTATGATCAACTAAATAACAAAACGGTCAACTAAACTTAATACTTCTCGTAGCCATTGTTGTGATAAGCAGACGAATTAAGACTGAGATGCCACCTATATCAGAAATGCGTCAGCAATGAGATGCTCCAAATTTCTTATAATGGACTCGTTTACGTACTAGATACAATAATTATAAACAATTAAGAACCCTCCTAAAATTTTACGAATAATACATTATTGTGGAACAATGCGTGGTGTCATTAACGACAGACAACATTATTATGAGTTTAGGCATTCTGTGTTACATTAAGATCTGAGTGTACGTCATCGTCATATACAGGGTGACTTCGAAGTTGAGTCATTTATTTTAACAGTGAGTAGATCTGATCAAAAGAAATGTTTTTTTCCTTTACCATTTTTCTGGTAAAATTAAAGTAACAAAGTTATAGCCCTTTGGAAGTTTGAGTACCGCCCTGTCTCAATAATAATATCATGTACTCGTGTTTGGCAACAACGGATATAATCCGCCTTACCGGTTCATCGCATCGGAAACAAAAAAGCGAAAGAATTTGGAACGACGTTTTTGCAATTAAGTGTTTTATTCAGTTCAGTTATACATACAGTCAGTATCTGTCGGTTAGCGTGTGAATAGTTTCTGTTGCGTGGCTCAAACGAAATAAAAAATGGCACATGTTTATGCGGATCGGTTTCCCAATCGAGTGCAACCAACCCCTCGTGCCTTTGTTAATGTAGTACAACGGGCTCGTGAATCAGGTGACTTAAGACCTCACAGGGGACCTCACGATCAAATACAGGTCCGCACTGAAATACTTGTCGGGAGGATACTTTTTAAAACAAGGTAAAATTTTTTTTTTACTTTTTTTTTATTTTTACACACATATTCTGGTTTATCTTCCTTCTACAATCATTATCTGAAAATTAATGACTCAACTTCAAAGTCACCCTGTATACCTATCGCTGATTGATAGTCATTATATTATGTTAGAACAGACGGTAGTTAAGAATTTTTGAGGACGCGCATTATAAATAGATTATTATTCCTCAATAATTATGTTATCCTGAGATAATCACTGACTTTAGGGAAAGATGACAATGAACTTTTTTATGGTTACAACGCCGTAATTCTCCATAATGACTTTGGAAGGCTTATCGATCCAACAGGTTGTCAAATAAGCATCAAGCTGGCAGTTGATAAAATGAGTGTAGGTATTAGAGACAAGCAATTTTGCAATTCATCAGCATTGAAACTTGACGTTATGTACGTTGTTTGTAACTTTATTCAGAAGACTTCGTGACACAGGATACTTAAAATGCTGGAACCTGAAATTTTACAAATAGAGGAAGAAATTTTAGAAATGTTCGAATATGACAAAACAGTGAGTACTAGAGCCATAGCAGCTCAAAGCTCAAGTTGAAGTTTCTCATAGAAAGGTGTGGAAGACAATACAACAAGAACAGTATTATCCTTAGCATTATCAACCGGCACAAGCGTTACAATCTGAAGATCATCCTATAAGATTTGGCCAGTGGCTTTTAAAACAGTTCGGTAGAAATGAAGATTTTACGAAAATAGTTTTGTGTACAGACGAGGCCACATTTACAAGTAATGGAGTGCACAATTTCTACAACAATTATGTTTGAGCAGTAAAACTCATTTTTAACATAGATTTTCATTGAATGTTTTGGCTGGTGTGGTAAATGGCATGCTTATTGGACCCTACTTTCTTCCACCTCGACTGATCGGTGAGAAAGAATATGTGGTTCCTACCTGACGGGGCTCCACCACATTTTAGACGAGAAATTCATGAACGTCCCAATAATGAGTTTCCGAATAGATGGATAGGGAGCAAGACCCATTTGTTGGTCTACTCGCTCCCCGGATTTAACGCCTTGCGATTTTTTTCTGAGGGGCAATCATAATGGAGCTTAAAATACTCTGGAAGAACTTCAACAGCGCGCTGAGAATGCTAGTGATTTTATTCGTGGACACCAGGATTTTATTTTCTAAGCTTGGGGGCACCTTTGAACAATTTTTGTGAAAACGCTATCCATTCAACTTGATCATGATTGTTATTTTAATAATTTTTGATAATGTAAACTAACTCTCTTATCATGCAACTTGTATATGGGTAATTTTTGGTATATCAACTTCTTTTGACGAGTTTTACAAGCTGTTAAAATAGATGACTCAACTTTGAAAACACCCTGTATATTCCTCAAGTTATAAGGGCAAATGTACGGGAAAATATTTGGTGGGTAGCTTAGAGATTTCCAGCATCGTATACTTCAAACAAAGAGTAGTTATAAAGACTGAGACAAGGCGAATAAAATTAGAGAGAGATAAGAGATGACTCCAAAAACATGGCGTCCACAAAACAGCTGATGGCGTCTAAACATAACTGTTGATGTTGTTGGATAAATTCATTGACGATGGTCATAGAACGCATCTGGGACGCAGTGGGACCGACGAGCGGATTAGAAAGGCATTCCACCAAATTCGATATAAATACGATTTGTTTCCTATATGATCACAGAACAAGTCGTTGCATGGAATACAATGGAGTATCCGCCAAAACGAGTCCATTTTAGGTTAGTATTTAGTACCAGAATATGTACACCAAAACATAAATGAATATATATATATACAGGGTGACTTTGAAGTTGAGTCATTAATTTTCAGATAATGATTGTAGAAGGAAGATAAACCAAAATATGTGTGTAAAAATAAAAAAAAATTAAAAAAAAAATGTTACCTTGTTTTATAAAGTATCCTCCCGACAAGTATTTCAGTGCGGACCTGTATTTGATCGTGCGGTCTTGGAGCACCGGCATGCCCTCCCCTGTGAGGTCTTAAGTCACCTGATTCACGAGCCCTTTGTACCAAAATTAACAAAGGCACGAGGGGTTGGTTGCACTCGATTGGGAAGCCGATCCGCATAAATCCGTCATGTCCACAAGTTCAGCATTTTCGTAAACATGTGCCATTTTTGATTTCGTTTGAGCCACGCAACAGACACCACTATTCACTCACGCGTTACCGACTGACACTGACTGTATACAACTGAATAAAATAATTGTAAAAACATCGTTCCAAATTCTTTCGCTTTTTTGTTTCCGATGCGATGAACTGATAAGGCGGATTATATCCGTTGTTGCCAAACACGAGCACATAATATTATTATTGAGACAGGGCGGTACTCAAACTTCCAAAGGGCTATAACTTTGTTACTTTAATTTTACCAGAAAAATGGTAAAGGAAAAAACATTTCTTTTGATCAGATCTACTCACTGTTAAAATAAATGACTCAACTTCGAAGTCACCCTGTATATATATATATGAGCAGTAGTCATTGCCATTGCCGTTGGGCAAAAAATACAATTAAAATTGTTAATTGGGAAATTGGCAAACTTTTAGGCTTTAGTTGACTCTTTTGACGATAAAATCAAGCATTTTTAATATGTTCGGCTGTATTGATATTTTTAACACATAACGATGGTATCTGTCGTTATCAATAAGCCCAATTTCTCCGTTCGATTGTTTTTATATTTGCAACAAGTTCTCTCATCTCTACGTGCGTTTTGAAACACCATTTGGCTGCAACCTCAACGACGAGTATAAGTTGTTTGACAATTTAAGTCGTTCCTGTATTGGTTGCTAGCATCACAATTGTGTTTTCAGAATCCTGATGAAGGCTCCATAGAGAATGCCGAAAGCTTGTTTTATCGTCAAAAGAGTCAACTTAAGCCTAGAAATTTGCCAATTTCCCAATTAACGATTAATTCTATTTTGTGCCCAACTGGTCGTTAGCTTTGGCAATGACTACTGCTCATATATATATATATATTGGTGTCCTGAACCTGCTATATCAAAAAGGCAAGTCTCGAATTAAACTATACTAGGGGTCAATGACAATCACAGCATCGGGCAACAACAAATCTATCGCCCGGTCTGTCAGCCAACATTTTAAAATGCAGTTGAGCCCCATTTGATACTTTCACTCCTTGATGATTGTCCAATTCCGCCATTGCATTCAGTTCAGTTCAAACCTGACTTGAACTGAGTTGCAGACAGTGGTACCCGCTCTCTCGCAGTAGTTCCGATTCGCGCAAGATATCCTGGTACCAGTGGTACCGGTAGCCACAGCTAACCGACCGAGGCGCGACGCCGACCGACGCTCTTTTGTTTTTATTTCTATTCGTCGTCCTAAGCCAACTAGGACGAGCGCGATCCTCGCGCAGGTTGTGTACACTTTGCGATCTACCTGATCCTGGAGATCCAGTTTGAAAGATACAATCTTGTTCTTCGATTAAACATAAAGTGGTCAAACATTTTAAGTACAAATGGACATTGCATAACGTGTGGTTCTTCTTAATCGTACATAGTGCTTTTAGTGACATATTGATTGCATCTATGGCTATAATGAATACTGAGGGAGATACCACTGCTTCAATCCAGAATACAGCGAATGGAAAGGTAAAATCAAGCTTGTTTTGAGTATAGATCCTCGTTAGGTTTTGACTTTTAGATCATTTGCGGTCTAGGATACCTATTAGACATTGCCCCCAAAGGCTGTTTTAGCAGCTGGGTTTTTCTGAAAATCAGAAGAACTGGTCCTGCCTTTTATCGTGCTCGTACATACATACATTAATATACATACAATGTAGTTGAATGAAGAAGCAAGTTAAAATTTCTGCAAAAATAGAGACCTAACAAACTATATAAGACTAAGGTAGACCATTTCAGTTCATAAACCAGATGCTTTCGGAATCTGGGAAACTTATTGAATCAAGAGTTTCAAAATAAATGTTCCTTAAGGCGAGATAAACTTTTGACACGTAGTGTTCTTCCAAAAATAATAATAATTATTGATTACGATTGGAAAACCTTTTAATTTATTCAAACAAAAATGTGTTACTGTTGCTGGCACTTTGAAGAATTGGTATAGCGTGGCACCAAAACTTGATCGGTGTACCTATGATCTTGTGAACTACTTTTAAAAATGCTTCTCCCTAGCATGAACGGCAGTAGGTTCGCTCTCACTCGTACTGCATCTTGTCCTTTCAGTTCCAATACGTTCTTGCGGCACTTCCAGATGTCTGACAGAAATACAAAGTATGCTAAGAAGCCTTCCTCCCATATACAAGTGCCACCCCACACGTTTGTTGGGGCCGGGAAAAGCTCGACAGTATTGCCCTGTCGGCGTTTCCTGTTCGAAGTGTGAGATTTTCTAGAGGCGGCATACTCACTAAAACCCCTTATTCGTTGACCACACATCCCACCACGGCAATGCGCAGCATTTATTCACGATGGGAAGCGTTGTGCTAGGTTTCTATACCAAAGGTATTAGTCATCTACATACATGTACAAACGAGCAAGTAGGAACCTACTGTTGGTGTCTATTTTTGTCCTCGTTCAGCATCATACGTCTTACCATTGGTTAAATATCACCCCATCTGCGCTGTCTGATAAGTGTGGAAAAATGGTCATGAATAAGCTTCTTGCCGAGCGTCAATTCCAGCTGTCTATGGTAGTCATCCCATCTACTACATTTGAGTAGACGATTATGAGTATCCTCCGCTCGATTGCAGTATACGCAGTCCGTGTACTCTCTCTTTCCTGTCTTGTTCAGGCAGCTGTCAAAACAACCATGTGCTGGGAGAAACTGTGCAGTTTAGTAATCTATCCGCACCGCTCCTTTGTCAATTCAAGTTTTAATGTCTGGGATCACCATAGTCAGTTGCATCTCATCTCTATGATAATAAGCTCCCTTTCGTCCCTTCTGGCTTCGGCTTCCTTTTTATAGAGCACACATCTCTCCTCAGACAGCGAATCAATTGGCGGGAAACCAACCACCACCACCAGCAGTGCATAGGTCGAGACAGTTTTGTAAGCGCAGGCCGGGTGCAGCAATACTTTTCGCTGACTTCTGAGCATTAGCTGCCTATAAGTCAATCTTTGACTAGGGCTAACATGAAAAACAGGAGACTCCCTTCACCTGTGTGAATTTACGCATAAATTGGTCAACAATTCAAATCCTCTAAGTCTGAGTAACATTTCATACCTCGCAAAGATACTCATCATCTGAATGTTATCATAATGTTACCAAAATTGAACTGCACAGCTTCTCCCCAACGTTCCGAAGATCGTTCATATATAATGCGATCAGGATGTATAGTCATACTTCTACAAGAACCCAAGCTTCTAAACATGAACAAGTCCAAACTCAAATTAAAACGTTATTTGTTTGATATGCAGTAGGATCAATGATAGTACTTTCTATATTAAATTTTTTGTTATTTCTTCATTATTGTTTATAGATGGTTATAGTTCGTTATCAAAAGTGGTTGGGTCCCTTTTTAACATAAAATTTACTACTCCCGTCATTCTTTATCGTAGCAAAAGGTTGAATGTATAATAACTACATGTTTCTTTGCGAATACCTGCGTTGCTCTTTTTGACCATATATTTTATGTCTGTCTACTTCTAATCGATTCTAGTTTAATTGTGTACTTATTTGGGCGCTGCTTTCACGTGTATTTTTGATTTCGTAATTTCTTTGTCTATGAAGTGCAACAAAACCGGTTTACTATTATTATTATATTTCTTTTTACTCAAGGCCTTCTTATAGATAGTATCGGCTCCGTACAGCATACTCGTCCCTGCCAAAATTCTACGCCTCTTACTACTGGGGGTTCCTATTTAATACGGGCCTCTAGATGTCCGAAAATCAAACCCAGATTCCCCTTTTCAAAATTTAGAAATTTGTTCGATTTATTGGAACATTTTATGAGCCAGAGCGTTAAGGACTCACTGCATTGTAAAGCAACCATAAATAATGAGAAAATTCAGCATTTCAGGAAAAAAATTAGTAAAAATGAGTGGTCGAAAAAATTAGCCCGTGGACACGCCGCAGCTGCTGGAAACCAACTGTCTTGAACCTTTATTGCTAGACAGCACTTTTCGGCTTTGTACAAGGCACAGATAAGAGCGGATCAAATGATCATACTGGGTGCTGGCAGTTCCATGTACTGGTTCAGATCCTATATGCCAGGTCGTTAAAGCTAAAGATGCATGCAAACAGCTTAAGCGTACACAACGGATCATTACAAACGTTTGTCGCACCTGCTGTTGAAAGTAGATAATTTTAAGGATCACTCATCACTGCACCGCCTTGCTAAGGTCGACTTTAAGCTGCGATGGTCCTTAATTTCGACATTTTTGTTGCGCTAGATACACTTATGTCCAGTTGCACCGCCTTGTTATGAAAATATAAATTTCAAAGATTGATGCCACAAAGGAGTACCAATGACAAATAAAAGTAATGCCACGAAAGAAAAATCTTGTGCGTGGCCATCCCGTTTTTTTCATTTACATATCCGCAGTTATAAATAAAGTGGATCAAACATTTGCTAGTGCACTATACGGTTCTACACTCACACACTGACATACTTTGGTTCTACACGATGGTTGGCAGAAACGACAAAACTTTAAACTAAGTTAAAAAATAAATAAAATGAATTAAAAAACTATTAAACATATTAGGATGAAACATGTACATAAAAAAAGGCATATTGAACTAAGCTGTAAAACTTACATAGGTATATGCATACGCTATTAACACTTTAAAAGAATACATCTATGGTAAAGGAGAATAAAACTAAAATGACATTACAAAACTGGTAGTTGTATTGGTCTTGTGAAAAATAAAATTAAGGATACATCAACCATATAATAGAATAAAACATAATTAAAATTGTAGTGTCCATCATACATGAGATACGGTATAAATAGATAAAGTATGATAGAATATAATAAAATATCGTACTATGGGAGCAATACTATCGTATGACATAAATAGTAGATTTTGAGATAATCAATGTTTTATTTTGCCTCATATTTTTTTTTGTATCGGCGCTGTTTAAAATAATGCTCTATGATAAACTCAGATAATTCACTTACATAGACTTGTGTCACCAGATCTTGAGTTTCAATAAATAACTGACTGATACTCGTAATGAGATATTTGAAGTCAAGATAGCCTTGCAGTGGAATGGTTGCTCAATGAAAATAACATACAAATTTTTTGAAAAAAGCAATTTATTAAATACAATGCACTAGCAGATAACATTGCAATATCCAATACAATACATACAGGCCCATGTGCTGATGATTACTCGGTTTCCGACGAGTCTTTACTTTCAGTGTTTGAAATTGGGAGTGCTTCATAAAATTCATGATACTCTTTTTGGATCAACTGCTTCTTTCAAAGATATAGCAAGCCATCTTTTTTCTTTTTACTTATGCCGAGAGGTCCATTGTAGGCATTTTTAAGAACTAAGTTTCTCTCTGACTCCTTCCTTCTTTTGGACTGGTTAATCGGGATTTCCTCAAATGTTTTTGCTTCAAGGCTTGTTCTATAAAATATACTTTGTGGGGAATCTTTTCTGACATAAAGTATTTTTATGTTATTCCATGTGATTTTTTCAATTTTGGTGTTTTTGGAAAATTGTTTTCCTACTTTACTGGTTAATGTTTTTATATCATAAATGTCACTTTGTTGGACTTCGTTAACAATATAAGGTGTGCCAGTTTTTCTTTGCACGGGCGATCATGGGTATCCACTGTGCAGGTATACCTATAGATGCTTTTAGCTTTTAGCAGTCTGTTCTTCTCTCTTTCAGTGGCAGAATGCATACTGTCACCCTCATTTTGGGTGTGATCGGCAATAAAAAACTTGTGGCTAATGGTATTTATGTTTTACATGGTATTAATTATTATTAACTACATAGAGGTATGTTGTTGCTATGAATTTATTTTTATTTTGATCGCAGCAGTTATCAGAATAAAATATAACATCTGAACACACATCAACCAAAAAATGGATCAATGAACTGCCCATCTCGTTAGCTCCTCGCTTTCCAATTGTTTCATTCCATACATAACAATAACCGATTCGATTTGGAATATTATAAATCGTTAAATTCAGGGTTGCAAGCTTACTTTTGTAATAAAAATCACTGTCTAAAGAGCACGGAGTAGGTAAAACTGTCCCCATATCATACACCGCGACTATCAGATTTGGATTTTCTTTAGCTAGAGGAGTATCTTTTTTCTTCTCTTCTCGTACAGCCGTTTTATTACGGATATGTTCCTCATAATTTTCTTGAATACCTTCCTTTTTAGCTATCGAAGAATTCTTTCACATAGACTGGATTGGCCTTTTTTGGGGGTATGAAAGCCTATATTATAGTCAAAGTTAAATATTTTGGTATACTGGTGATATTTAGCAAAGGGATTACCTGAATTTTTTCCTCGAGTTGCCATGGCCTACCTATATTTTCGCTCAATTAGTTTCATGTGCCTTAACAAAAATTGTCTCTGCCGATCTATATCACCAAGATCCCAGTAATCTTTGAAAAGGGACAAGGAAATAATTGCTTCCAATCAGTCAATAAAAGCAACAGATTCGTAGT